ATGTTATGGTGCGGCGGTTAAGAATAAGCGTTATAAAAACGAAAATTTCAAAACCCAGAGCAGAATATGCTAAGATTCTGTGAACAAATTCATTAGTAGTAGTAGTTACATGAACATTTAAGAAATTCATCAATGGAGATGCATGACTGATGATCCAAAACACGCTCCTAATAATGGACATTTGAATAAACTGGTGATAGCTTTATTAGAAAATCTTGGATCAAAATTATTATTACTACACCCAGAAAAAAATCCGTTCGAAACGTTAGAAAATCAAGCCCAAACGGGGTCAAAAAGTGCGTAAGCCCGTTTGTTGTCAGTTCATGAACGCTTGGTCATAAAATTTGACCGAAATATTGGCATGCTTTGAACGAATGGGGTCACTTTTAGAACATATTGGTGTTGAATTAGGAAGATTTGAGAACAAACGTTCAAAATGTGAGAACAAAAAAAGGAGAACGGATTGTTCGCAAATCAAGAAAAATGTTCTTGATTTTTTTCGTTCTTTTTTTTCTGGGTGTATGGATTTCAAACAAACAGAGCTTACGTTTCAGTATAAAAATTGAGGCTGCTCGCTGTCGTTTCTTCCCGTCTTCTCCTTCCCATTTTTATCTTCAGTTCTCTCTTTATTTTCCGAATATGAATGACAGTCAAAACAAACATGATCAAATCAAAGATACTCAGGAGGAGCAGCTGTAAAAATATGTCAGGGTCTTCCTCTATAACCTTCAATAAATCTACGACAAACAAATAATTAGAACGTTACCTTTCAATTAAAAAATACTTATTTTTCAAAATATAATGAAAACTTACCAAAAGACACGTAATGTTTATATGTAAACTGTTCGACCCCTATCAAGATAGCAGCAGTGACCCATACAAAAACATTGTAGACCAGAAATTGATAAGGATGTTCATTGCGCCTAGGCGATTTAAATGCTTGCCACAAGTGATAGCCAATTACAGAGCGCCAAAGAATGATAGCGTACCAGCAGAAGTTGCAGCTTAGAGCTGGAAATTATAAATAAGTGTTTTAGTATTTAAGCAACGGAAACAATCATTAAAAAACTAACTTTGTGCTGAGGGTAACATGATCTCTGAAAAGTATTTCCCTTCCCAGATAAATTTCATTGCGAAAATGGAAAACAGGCTGCCAACAACGCATTTTCCAAGCGTATTCCGGAGCTCCTTTACGTACAGATAAACGGCGATGGTCAGGACACAGCAGGACTGAAATAGTATAAAAACAAGAGAGAACGCTATATTCGGGTGCCCCGACTATCAGATACCCGTTACTCAGCTAAAGGGAGTGCGAGGGAGATGGAGATATAAACTTTGATCAGCACTAACTTTTTAACGAATGGTCCGATTTAAAAAATTTCTTCTACATTTCGATAGGTATTGATAAGCACAACAAAACTGCATTTTTACTTTTCCAAAATATTCAAATTTATAAAATCGTACATAAGCGATAATTTGTTCGCACTAATTTGTTCGATCTATAAAAAGCAGAGATCAAACCCAGAAGATTTCAGTCTAGAAGGATATTTGGAGATCTTATCATCATGCGCTTGGCAATCCTGATCGCTCTTATCATTTGCACGGCAGCTCAGCAGACAACACTACCCCCTTGTCCCCCACCTCAACCCTACAATTGCCATGTACCTCCATCCTAAAACTAAATATATCCTTCTATTGCTGGAATTGGGAATGATGAATAAATTACAAACTTTGTAATGTCTTGATAATAAAATATTCCCAAAGTATGTTTGTTTACTGACCGTCACTCTGGGAGTTTGGAGAAATACAATTAATTTCATATACATATTGTCAATCTCCTATAACTCAAACCTTCAGCAGACAAGAACAAAATTTCTTGTAAAATGCTTTTATTCGTTTTAATACGTTAAAATGGGACTCAATTAGTAAGTATAATTGTGTGAACAAAAAGAGCATAAACTAAACTTAACAATTTAAGTTAAAACACGGGTTGGTGTCCCGACTATCTAATACCCGTCACTCAGCTAAAGGGAGTGCGAACGCTGTACTCGGGTTGGTGTCCCGACTATCTAATAATCGTAACTCAGCTAAAGGGAGGGGGCGTGGCGCTCGCTGAAGCCCAAGAATATGTGTGGGAAATCTCAACCTTCTAGCTTTTGTAGTTTCCGAGATCTCAGCGTTCATACAGACAGACGGACAGACGGCTAGTGACCCTGATCAAGATTATAGTGTCGGAAAAACGCTTCCTTCTCCCTGTTACATACTTTTGCACGAATACAATATACCCTTTTACTCTACGAGTAACGGGTATAACTATTACATTTTTCAGCTTAGTAGTAAAAATTACTGAGGCGAAAAAGGCCGTAAAAAGTAAGTGCAAATTTTAACAAACTAATTTATTTGGCCTATAAATTATAATTTATAAATAAATTTGAAAAAAAAAATGATAAAAATATATATAAAAATAATAATCAGAAGAAAATATTCATAGGATATTATACAACACACGTGACATTTTTTTTAAGAACTCACATTTAAAAGCCTAACATTTTACAACGGACGTGACACTAATTTATTCGCACTCATTTGTTCGATCTATAAAAGCAGAGATCAAACCCAGAAGATTTCAGTCTAGAAGGATATTTGGAGATCTTATCATCATGCGCTTGGCAATCCTGTTCGCTCTTATCATTTGCACGGCAGCTCAGCAGACAACGAGACGACCCCATTGTCCCCCAACGCGTCTTGGAACTTGCCACGTCCCTCCAGCCTAAAACTAAATATATCCTTCCTTATCTGTAATTGGAAATAATGAATAAATTACAAGCTTTGTAATTCCTTAATAATAAAATATTCCCATTGTATGTTTGTTTACTGACTGTCACTCTGGGAGTTTCGAGAAATGCAATTAATTTCGTATACATACAGTCGATCCTCTAAACCTCAAACCTTTAGCAGAAAAAACAAAATTCGAGTTACACAGAAACGAAAAAATATTTGTTGTAAAATGCTTTAATTCGTTTTGATGCGTTAAATCGGGACTCAGTTAGTTTAATTGTGTGAACAAAAAGAGCATAAACTAAACTTAACAATTTTTTCAGCTTGGCAGTAAAATTTACTGAAACGAAAAGAGACGAAAAAAGTAAGTGCAAATTTTGCCTATAAATAATCAAATAAAAACACCTCTTAACGAGGTAAAAAACTAGTGACGATCGCACCTTCAACGTACAAAAGTTCTGATATCAACTTTTGTGACGAAAAATAATTTTAGATGCGACTAAATAAGTACGCTACCTAAAATTTACTCGTTCGGCCCGCTTTGGCAAATATTTAATATCTACACGAATGTTTTTCTGTTTTAGCGTGCCGAATGAATAAATTTTAGGTAGCGTACTTATTTAGTCGCATCTAAAATTATTTTTCGTCACAAAAGTTGATATCAGAACTTTTGTACGTTGAAGGTGCGATCGTCACTAGTTTTTTACCTCGTTAAGAGGTGTTTTTATTTGATATCAGAAGTTTTTGTTTGTTTACTTTTGCTCTCATAGGTGCTAATATAAACATTTAAATTTAAATTGGTCATAAATCATAATTCTTAAACTATTGTATTTTAACGAATTAAGTTAAAAAGGCGTTGAAGTATTTCAAAATACCTTTTAAACGAGGTATAGCACATGTCTGTACCTTTAGTAGTGTAGAACTTAAAAACTAACGAAATTTAGCCATTTTTAGCTATTTTCCCGCTAAAGTAGCGGCTTTTTCCAAAAGTCGTAGAACAAAAGATTCCTATATGGAACTCTTAAGTGCAAATTTACTGATTCCATGACCCTAAAATACAGTTCGGATACCCTCCCACAAAATTCAATACTCAGGGAGCGTTAATTGTTCGAGCTGGCAAAAGTGGCTATTTTCGTATAAAAATAACTTTTAAACGTGACTTTTTACAGTAATGTGTTATATACCAAAATTTAAGGAATCTCAAGGGCTATACAGTTTAAGGTTTTAAAGAAAATCGTTAGAGCCGTTTTTGAGAAAAATAAAAAAAAGCTAAAAAAAAAAGTTTTAAAAAATTGTCTTTTGTTCATATTTTTTTAATTATTACATTTACACAAATTGCATATAGAAGGCGTTTATAGCATTTAAAAATACCTTTCAAACGAGATGCAGCACAAGTCTGTAGCTTTAGTAGTATAGAAGTTACGGCTTTCCGATTTTTAGCTATTTATAGCTGTTTTCCCGCTAAACTAGCGAGTTTTTCCAAAAGTGGTAGAACAAAAGATTTTTATATCGATGTGATGAACGTCATATAAAATTTTCAAAACTTAAAAAACATGTTTTGGACAAGTGGACAAGTGGACAAGTGGACAAGTGGACAAGTGGACAAGTGGACAAGTGGACAAACTGACAAACAGAATTAAAATTTCATTTTGGGAAGAAGAAGAAAATCTTATTTTGGCTATAACTTTTGAACGGAGAGTCGGATTTTGACAAATGATCCCTCATTCGACGGGTATTTTCAAGAGGAATACAACTAAAACATTGCGAGGGGGCATTTATCCCCACCGGCCCCAACAGCTCCAAATTTCGAAATTTTCAATTTTTCACTTTCACCGCTCTCTCTCCCAAGCCAATTGATTTTCTTAAAGTCTTGGTATGCAATCCTTTAAGTTTTTGCAATACCTTTCGATTGGTGTATTACTCATTACGATCGGACTATCACTGCCGATTTTCAATTTTGCGGCTATATAATAGTAGTCGCCTTCGCACACTCTCCTGGTGCGCTTCGTCACTACATGGACTGCCGTCCATAGTGATATTTATATATAAATTTAAAATTAAATATTATAAAAAATAATCAAAACAAAATATTCATAGGATACTTTACAACGCACGTGACATATTTTTAAAACTTACATTTGAAGAACTAACATTTTACAACGTACATACGTGACATTAATTTGTTCTCACTAATTTGTAGGGTCTTTAAAATGCAGAGACCAAAACAGAAGAATTCAGTCTAGGAGAAAATCTTGAGATATAATCATCATGCGCTTCGCAATTCTTTTCGTTCTTATTATTTGCAGTAAGATCTTGAAAATTTAAGGAAAACTTATCTAATTAAATATTTGAATTTCTTGTCCTTTTAGCTTTGGGACGGAAGTGTACCCCAAATTCAGTTGGAGAAATAATAATCTAATACCACGTTTTCCTTTTGCCCTTTTAGCAATGACAACGAAGGTGACACACGGGTGTCACCCAAATACACCAGGGTGCCACACTACTCCCAAACCCAAATAAAAACAAGAGAGAACGCTATAGTCGGGTTCGTGTCCCGACTATCTAATACCCGTCACTCGGCTAAAGGGAGTGCGAGGGAGATGGATATATATTTTTGGATTGCGTATAACTTTTTAATGAATGGTCCGATTTAAAAAAATGTCTTCTACATTTCGATAGGTATAAATATACACAACAAAATTGCATTTATACTTCTCGGAAATCTTTAAAGGTGTGACCGCCAGGCACATTTTAAAATCGTTAGTGGGCGATTGTGGGCGTTAGAGGTGGCGTGGCGCTCGTCTGAAATAAACTTGCGCTGCGTAGGAAGCCCAAGAATATGTGTGGAAAATCTCAACCTTCTAGCTTTTGTAGTTTCTGAGATCTCAGCGTTCATACGGACAGACAGACAGACAGACAGACAGACGGACAGACGGACATGGCTAGATCGACTCGGCTAGTGACCCTGATCAAGAATATATATACTTTATGGGGTCGGAAACGCTTCCTTCTAGCTGTTACATACTTTTGCACGAATACAATATACCCTTTTACTCTACGAGTAACGGGTATAATGAGAAGAAAAGTTACTAATCCGCCCTGTATCTAAAAATTGGAGTAGATTAGGAAGTGTACCGAAATATGTTGGATCCATTGTATATGCTCAACCTGCTATACTTAAAGGCAAACACGAATGACTCTCGATGTGGTTGTTTCGCAAAATAAGTAGGTCTTCTTCAAAGCCAATTTTTGGAAACTAAAAAACAGAGCAGAACAGAGTATTACGCTAGGGTCCCATAAAAATCGCTTACGATTGATGGAGATAATGAAAAATATAGATTTCCATATTATATAATATTTATTAAAATGATTTAGTATAAAACAAATTGAATCTGTACATTGTATAAATAGTAAATGTCGGAGAATATTTTGAAACTATAGATTAAATTAATATTTGTAAGTCTCTCAGTGTATGAGTTTTACAGAATGAATGAAGATCAAAAGAGATTGCAAAGAGAGAGTCTTTTGTGTGCTAAGTTAAGTTCATAGTAAATAGACGAAAGTGTAAAACGTTGAGTAGAAACTGACAATGTCCCCCGAAACTGAACCAAGATCTCCTACATATACAAAATTTATATTGCTTTGTATAAAAATGAGCCATTTGAGCCTTTATTGTAATTTTTTTAGTTGGGGGTTCATTAAACTTTATATAATTAAGGCAGATCTCTCTCCCTTTGAGCACGAACACGACGCTTAGTTTGTCTTTCACGAATGCTGAAAAAACAGGAAAAAATTACTTGAATCTCTTGATCTCTCACATAAAACTTACCTTTCCATAAGTAGTTTTATGGTGCTGTGCTTTACGATAAGCAAAATAAAGACAAATATACCAAAAGCATGATGTAAATCGAGCATGAATTGAAGGTAGTTAAAGCTTAGTACAAAATAATTCACAACATATATAATAATAACAAAGATCCAAGACAAGCCCATCATTATGGACATTCGTAGAAATTGTAGGTAACTATACTCCAAAAAATAAAAATTGTTAAAAAAATATCTGGAACTATAAAAAGTTAAGCTTACGTTTGAGTGTCGAAATTGAAGCAGGTTGTTGTCTTGTCCTTTTTTCGTGCAAATCTCTTCATTTCATTTTTTACTTTGCAAATGTTTATAGTAGTCAAAATAAACATTACTAGATTGAAGATGTTGAAGATCAGCGTTGCTAAATACATGCACAAAGCTAAAAATATTATGGTAATTTTTTCAATTAATTATAATTAGTTATATATTTAAATATCTGATTTTGTTTTATATCAAAAATGTATAATGGTAAAATACCAATTAAGATATTATTACAATATTAAAAATTATATTCAAATATTATTATTATAATATTAATTAAATTTAAATTTGGTTAGCAAGCTTTAAACTTACATATAAGTTCTGGATCATCTAGATTATTCATAAAATAGGAGGCCACTGTCAGGATAATAGAAGTGATCCATACAAAAATGCTGTAGGCCAGAAACTGATGCCAGTTCTCATCGCGCCTGGCTGACTTGAAGACTTGCCACAAGTGGTAGCTAATCACTGAAAGCCAAATAAAGTAAGCAAGCTGGAAAAAATGTCGAATCCACTCAAAAATGATGGAGAAACGAATTAGATGTCCGAAAATGATGCCATCTGTAAATTATAAACTTATTCAAAAATATTTTCAACTCAAAAAAATGTTGATAAACTTACACGTTGGATAAATGTTATACACAAAATTGAATGCATTTTGTACAAAGATAACTTGCACCATGACCATACTGAAAAGGCAGCTGATGATGCATTTTCCAAGGGTATTTCGGAGATTCTTTACGTAAAGATAAACGGAAATGGTGAGGATAAAACAAATGGTCGATATCAATGCGACTGGAAAAAAGAACACGAGAATAAATATTAAATACTGCGAAACTTAACATAAGTCACTGGATTTAATTTTAATAAATATAATAATATTTTAAAATAACGTACCGATTCCTTGAATAAGCGTGTCCATTTTGGATTTACAAGTGCTTCACTAATGGGAAAAACTCGACTGACACTTGATGTAGTTATTTCGCAATAGAAATAGGCTTGCTTTAAATATATAATAACTTTAAAAGCATAGTAAAATTCTTACCACAGAAACTAAGGCGATAAAAGTATTCCTTAAGGATATAGTGATAAATAAGCTAGAAATAACTATTTACCCATAAAAATATTCTTTTGGGACTCATTTCATTTCATGAACAATTATTCCGATTAAAAAGCAATGCATTTTATAAAAGTACACTAAATATATTTATTAATAATTCAAAAGTTTGCTTTCCAAACTAGAAAAATAACTTTTAATTGGTAATCTGTGTTTTTAGAAAAATGTCTCTTTTGTTATTTATTGAAAGGCAACTTTTCTAATAACAAGAAACATTTTTAATTTTAGAGAGATTTCTAAAATAAAGAAACTTTTTTTTAGTATATTTACTTAAGTGCACACAAACAAATCGTTTGTTAAAATTAAGCAATATAATTTTCAAATAATCCCCAACCTCAAAAATTGTCAATTCTACACGTAACTATTTTTACAGTTACGCAACTATTCGTATTGGTCAATTTTACCAATCAAATTTTTTTATGTGTGTAAGCAAAGATATAATTCTGTACCAATTAATGTGATATTTTTCCCAGTGTATCTGGCTGAGCTACACGTAAAACGTTCACGTTCTCGTTGGCTGGCCAACTTTACGGTCGTCGAAGAAGGGGGCGTGGCACGTTGGGCGGTCGGTGGTGGGCCTGGGAATAAACAAAAAAACACATTGACCTCGCCCCAAGAATATTGCAAGCCATGCAATAATTCAGCTCCTGCCCTTTATGAGGCAGTTGTGTGTTTCGTCTGGCCGGGATTTCATTACTCCAACGTATCCTTTGTGAGAAAGCCTTTTACTTTCACTTTTTCACCCTTGGAAAACTAACCAAACGTGCGGAAGTCGCATTTTCTCGAATGTATTACTTTATAGAGAATGGGAAAAACTGGGTCAAGTGTCTCGTATTGCATTGTTGTAATTACATTTCGCTTTGCCTTTGGCTGCGTATCAACCCGGAGATCTGGAATTTCATCCCGTTGCGGCCTTGTCAATGCTGGGAAAATGCGATTTAGCCATCGCTCAATGCAATGGAAATGCAGTTGACGCCGGAAAATGGGAAACTGGGAGCTGGGGAATTGATTTTACAACCGCGGCGACCGAAATCCGCAAACATTTTCACACACACACGCGTTTACAGACGCGGGTATATTGACCTTCGGTTCGAAGGACCCGCGCTCTCTTTTGGCCACGTCATCATCGACTGTTGGCCAAGGAAAATAGCGACTAGCATGTTTTCACCATAAAGCAGCAAAGCGGTTATTCCTGTAAGCCATCAACAACCCAAACCCCTAACCCCATTCCTACACCATCCCTTCCAATCAAGAGTTCTGCCATTGTTGTCGTCTCAACTCGCTGGCAAGTGATGTGTGCAAAGTGGAGATGACGTATACGCCCCGTCCGCCACTCGCAGAAACAAGGCCAACTGCAGCTAAATGTTGCAAGCAATTAACCATTTAATTTGAAGGCAGCCTTCAACCCGTTTTCGACTCAACGCTAAATTTAATTTCGAATAAAGCTAATCAAGGGCTTTGTTTAAAATTTTTACACAGCGAATAAAAAGTATCTTACTGGATGAATTTATAAAATAATTATAAATAAAAACAGCTTCATCTTCAAAAACTAGGGTTTATTCTAAAAATTAATTTCAATTTGATAGAGTTATAGTCTTCAATATAAAATATATTTTTAAGACGTCTGAATGAATAATAAATATTATTTATTATTATATTTTAAATTATTTTTTGTTAAGGGCTTCTAAAAGTATTTTTTTTTTTTAAAATTCATTTTAATTTGGAAGATTTAATTTTTACAGAATATTATTTATTTATATTTTAAATTACTATTAGTAGGTATTTATCCTTAACAATTTATAAAAAAAACATAAATAAACGTTTAGCACGCCTACTCTAGTAATTATTTATGCTGTAGCGGTCTTTATTCATTGATTTTTAGGAACCGCGCAACATTCAGCAGGCGTATCGTTCTGGCATTGTAATATTTTGCTAATTTTTTTTGCTTTGTGTGGACTATTTTTAGGAGCGAATTGGTGTGGAAGAGCCTTATCCAGGCAGTCGGAATACTAGGCAATTTGCATAAATTTAACATGAATCAATGCTGCGCGGGGTGGGAAGGGAAAGGAGGGAAAGAGGAAAAGCGGAACGGAAGGAAAAGTGGGGCGGGAAAACCAGACGGGCGGCCATAAAAGCGCCGAAAGCAGGGAAATGCGTGAGCGAACAATGAATGAATGACTCAAACGCACACACACATTTTACATACATACATAGGCAGTTATGAGAGGGCGTGAATGGCCTACGCCTAAATAAATCAATAGGGAAAACCAGCCACAGCGCGTAAATTAAGCTGAGGCAATGTGAAATTGAAGGAAAATTGCAGTGCACAACACATAAAAGCAGGCAAATTTATGCAGATGCGATGAGGTATCCCTAATGCCTGCGTAATGCCAGTTAATTTCGAATGTGTCTGACTGGATGCGAATTTGTATCCCAAGGAAGCATATAAAATTAAACAATTGCAGGAAATAAAGTCGCTAATCAAATGGGCTTAGTAAATGCTGTTAAAATGTTTTACGTTCAAGGATATGAAAACTCCTGAATTTAAACCATTTTAAATAAAAATGCCTTTGTAATGGAAAACTTTAAAAGCTGTTTTGATTCTCTTGTTTATTCTGGAACTATGGCAACGTTAATTAAAATGAAAATCATTTAATATATATCAATTATTCAACATGTATACAATTGTCTACACAAAAAACGAGCATAAGTAAATTCATAAAAACGAATCAAATTACCTATCGACTTTTTATTACACAAGTATAATGAAAAAGCTTTAATGACGCATAGTTGATTACTAAATAATTACTTATTTAACTTTTATTGACATTTAATTTATTTGCTCAACGGTTATGGCTGGTTATTTGATAAATGATAAATGTCTAATGAATTAAATAATTATAATTGAAACTATTAAATTGATCAACTTAGCTGTAAAAGTTACTTAAGCTTAAGTAATTTAGTGAAAATTTAAATTAACTAGATTGCATAATATATAAATAATTTAAAATAAATATTTGAAATAATGAAATATATAAATATATTTAATAATTATAATCAAATGAAAATATTCATAGAAAAACCTTTAAATATTGTTATATTAGGAAATTATAACTGATATTTTACAACAGACGTGACATTTTTTTTAAGAACTCACATTTAAAAACCTAACATTTTACAACGGACGTGACACTAATTTGTTCGCACTCATTTGTTCGATCTATAAAAGCAGAGATCAAACCCAGAAGAATTCAGTCTAGAAGGATATTTGGAGATCTTATCATCATGCGCTTGGCAATCCTTTTCGCTCTTATCATTTGCACGGCAGCTCAGCAGACAACGAGACGACCCCATTGTCCCCCAACGCGTCTTGGAACTTGCCACGTCCCTCCAGCCTAAAACTAAATATATCCTTCCTTATCTGTAATTGGAAATAATAAATAAATTACAAGCTTTGTAATTCCTTAATAATAAAATATTCCCATTGTATGTTTGTTTACTGACTGACACTCTGGGAGTTTCGAGAAATGCAATTAATTTCGTATACATACAGTCGATCCTCTAAACCTCAAACCTTTAGCAGAAAAAACAAAATTCGAGTTACACAGAAACGAAAAAATATTTGTTGTAAAATGCTTTTATTCGTTTTGATGCGTTAAATCGGGACTCAGTTAGTTTAATTGTGTGAACAAAAAGAGCATAAGCTAAACTTAAAAATTTTAGTTAAAACCATTAAATTTTTCAGCTTGGTAGTAAAAATTACTGAAACGAAAAGGGACGAAAAAAGTCATTGTAAATTTTGCATATAAATAATATTTATATATAAATTTAAAATGAAATATCTCAAAAAATAATCAAAACAAAATATTCATAGGATACTTTACAACGCACGTGACATATTTTTAAAACTTACATTTTAAGAACTAACATTTTACAACGTACATACGTGACATTAATTTGTTCTCACTAATTTGTAGGGTCTTTAAAATGCAGAGACCAAAACAGAAGAATTCAGTCTAGGAGAAAATCTTGAGATATAATCATCATGCGCTTCGCAATTCTTTTCGTTCTTATTATTTGCAGTAAGATCTTAAAAATTTAAGGAAAACTTATCTAATTAAATATTTGAATTTCTTGTCCTTTTAGCTTTGGGACGAAAGTGTACCCCAAATTCAGTTGGAGAAATAATAATCTAATACCACGTTTTCCTTTTGCCCTTTTAGCAATGACAACGAAGGTGACACACGGGTGTCACCCAAATACACCAGGGTGCCACACTACTCCCAAACCCAAATAAAAACAAGAGAGAACGCTATAGTCGGGTTCGTGTCCCGACTATCTAATACCCGTCACTCGGCTAAAGGGAGTGCGAGGGAGATGGATATATATTTTTGGATTGCGTATAACTTTTTAATGAATGGTCCGATTTAAAAAATGTCTTCTACATTTCGATAGGTATAAATATACACAACAAAATTGCATTTATACTTCTCGGAAATCTTTAAAGGTGTGGGCGCAAGACCCATTTTAAAATCGTTAGTGGGCGATTGTGGGTGTTAGAGGGGGCGTGGCGCTCGGCTAAAATAAACTTGCGCTGCGTAGGAAGCCAAAGAATATGTGTGGAAAATCTCAACCCTCTAGCTTTTGTAGTTTCTGAGATCTCAGCGTTCATACGGACAGACAGACAGACAGACAGACAGACAGACAGACAGACAGACAGACGGACAGACGACAGACGGACATGGCTAGATCGACTCGGCTAGTGATCCTGATCAAGAATATATATACTTTATCGGGTCGGAAACGCTTCCTTCTCCCTGTTACATACTTTTGCACGAATACAATATACCCTTTTACTCTACGAGTAACGGGAATAATTATAATCAAAAGAAAATATTCATAGGGTAAACCTTTAAATATTCAACTGATATTTTACAACAGACGTGAAATTTTTTTAAGAACTCACATTTTAGTACCTAACATTTTACAACGGACGTGACACTAATTTGTTCGCACTAATTTGTTCGATCTATAAAAAGCAGAGATCAAACCCAGAAGAATTCAGTCTAGAACAGCGGTCGGCACACACATACGTTGACATTTTGTTTTATATTTGTGTGAGTAATTTGCACTGGGCAGCTCATCGATGTGTGTGTGCAGACCGCTGTTCTACGTTATACATGTGCGAGCAGCGCGGCGGCAGAACAAAACCCTATGCTCACTTAATAGGGCGCTGCCGACCGCTGGTCTAGAAGGATATCTGGAGATCTAATCATCATGCGCTTAGCAATCAGGTTGGCTCTTATCATTTGCACGGCAGCTCAGCAGACAACACTACCCCCTTGTCCCCCACCTAAACCCTACAATTGCCATGTACCTCCATCCTAAAACTAAATATATCCTTCTATTGCTGGAATTGGGAATGATGAATAAATTACAAACTTTGTAATGTCTTGATAATAAAATATTCCCAAAGTAAGTTTGTTTACTGACCGTCATTCTGGGAGTTTGGAGAAATACAATTAATTTCATATACATATTGTCAATCTCCTATAACTCAAACCTTCAGCAGACAAGAACAAAAGGCTTTTATTCGTTTTAATACGTTAAAATGGGACTCAATTAGTAAGTATAATTGTGTGAACAAAAAGAGCATAAACTAAACTTAACAATTTAAGTTAAAACAAGAGAGAACGCTATAGTCGGGTTGGTGTCCCGACTATCTTATACCCGTCACTCAGCTAAAGGGAGTGCGAACGCTGTACTCGGGTTGGTGTCCCGACTATCTAATAATCGTAACTCAGCTAAAGGGAGGGGGCGTGGCGCTCGCTGAAATAAACTTGCGCTGCGTAGGAAGCCCAAGAATATGTGTGGGAAATCTCAACCTTCTAGCTTTTGTAGTTTCCGAGATCTCAGCGTTCATACAGACAGACGGACAGACGGCTAGTGACGCTGATCAAGATTATAGTGTCGGAAACGCTTCCTTCTCCCTGTGTCATACTTTTGCACGAATACAATATACCCTTTTACTCTACGAGTAACGGGTATAACTATTACATTTTTCAGCTTAGTAGTAAAAATTACTGAGGCGAAAAGGGCCGTAAAAAGTAAGTGCAAATTTTAACAAGCTAATTTATTTGGCCTATAAATCATAATTTATAATTAAATTTGAAAAAAAAAAATGATAAAAATATATATAAAAATAATAATCAGAAGAAAATATTCATAGGATATTATACAACACACGTGACACTTTTTTCAAAACTTACATTTAAACAATTAACATTTTACAACGAACGTGACATTCATTTGTTCTCACTAATTTGTAGGGTCTTTAAAATGCAGAGACCAAAACAGAAGAATTCAGTCTAGGAGAAAATCTTGAGATATAATCATCATGCGCTTCGCAATTCTTTTCGTTCTTATTATTTGCAGTAAGATCTTAAAAATTTAAGGAAAACTTATCTAATTAAATATTTGAATTTCTTCTCCTTTTAGCTTTGGGACGGAAGTGTACCCCAAATTCAGTTGGAGAAATAATAATCTAATACCACGTTTTCCTTTTGCCCTTTTAGCAATGACAACGAAGGTGACACACGGGTGTCACCCAACTACACCAGGGTGCCACACTACTCCCAAACCCAAATAAAAAATATATCTTTCTTATGGCTGAAATCGGGAATAAAATGATGAATGAGTTTTGTAACGTCTTGATAATGGAGAATTCGAAAAGTTTGTTTGTTTGCTGACCGTCACTCTGGGAGTTTCGAGTCGATCTGCTATAGCTCGAACCTTCATCAGACAAATAAAAAATTTGACTTACAGGGACTTTGATTTTAAAAAAAATAGTTTTTTCTTGATAAAGGTTTTAACTAGTTTTGATACGTTAGCAGCTTTTTATTACATCAATTAATGGGGTTTAAGGACGCTTAGTTGATTGAATAATCTAGTTTATTTGGCCCATAAATTTTACATACCATAAGTTTTTTATGATTATTAGCTATCTTCATATATTTGCGTGTTTTTCTTTTAGTTTGCTATAAAACTTTTCCATGTTTATTTCCCTTGGAAAATATTATGTCTTTTTTACTTTACCTAAAACGCTGCTTAAAATTCATTTGTGGTTCAGTTACATAACAATAAATTATGCTGCTTTTTATTATTTTGAACAAATCCAGTTGATAGCCACTTAAGAGTTACAATAGACATGACCTTGGGCATGTTTTTACTCTAACTGAATGGGTGACATTAAAAGAAGGAGAAGATGAAAGTTTTTTATAATTAAAGAAAATTAAGTAAAATATAAATATAAAAAATTGTTAAATGTTTTTTAAGTTGCTTTCTATTTTTAACATAATTTTTTAGGCCATAAACATATTTAAGCTGTATTTCAAGACAGCTTTTTCCAAGAGTATTTGAAGATCTTACTTCAAAGGAAAAACTCCACTTCGTTTTCTTTTGACGTCATGTTGTTTATGGTATCTCATAACTACGGAACCCGAATATCCATATTATTTCTTGGCTGTTTTATTTTTTGCTGGCATTTCTTTGCAGCGCAGTTGGGAATTTAAATATGTAATTAAGTCCGCGGGGGTGAGGGGCTCTTGCAAAATGGCCAAGGAAAACGCGGTCGCTGCTGGGCAACGCATATTAAAATGAGTTTTTATTCTCCATTTCCCGTCGTCCCGAAAACCGAAAACCAAGGGCCAAAAATAATTTGACGCTCGTCGATGACCGCATGGCAGAAATGGGGCTAATGAAAATTAAATTGAATAAGCGGCTGGCCGATTTAATGGAATCTAATGGTAATGGCCACATGATTGGGCCGCAGTTGCGTGCAAATCATGGTCGCGATTAAGTGCAAATGAAGCCTGATTAATTGCCAGCCGATTGCAGCTCCCGTCCACCCGGAATTACGAAGATCCTTTTGGTCCCAGTGTGCAAACAAAAGGCCAGCAAATGTCATATTTTATGGCCACTTTTGCTGGCCTTGGAACGCCATTGTTCCGGTGGCACGCATAAAAAAGCTGAGTTGCGGCCATGAAAATTCATGGCTAGACCAACATTATACTAGCTGCCGGTCGGGATATTAGTGCTGGATCCTAGGGATCGAATATTGCTGGGTGAGGGGTCAAATAAGCTGGGCTTTTTTAATAACCTTCCACGTAAACGTTAGTCTGCCATACACAAATTTACGCAATTTTACTTAAGCTGCAGAGCAAAATTTATTGGTTAAAAAAACGAGAGATTTATAAAATTAAATTTAAAATATGCTATACAAATTAAAAATATTCTTTACGATGTTTAAAATATTTTTTCACAAGTCTTTTATATTCATTATATTATAAACGGATATTATAATTATTAACTGTAGTATTTTTCACTACTCGGAGTATTCCTATATTTTATTAAAAATAAATTACCCTAAAAAATATATGAATAAACTTTTGATCATAACCCTTAATATTAAATATAAATTAATCATAAAATATTTATATTTATTTATTAACTATACATCTCTAATCTAGCAAAAAAAAAACAAACAAATATTTTCCACATCAATTACCCTGCGTAATAACTTACACATTTTTTGGCAATAATATTTTTGTGCATGGTTTTATTGCTTTTGCCTAATTCGGATTGATGTAAAGTATTAAAAAAATCAAGTGTGGATGGCCCATAAAAATATGAGCACGCTTATACAAATTTCTATATGGATGGGCTTACGGTTGAAGTCGTACAAAAGCTACAAACTACCCGAATATACAAACTCATTGGATGCCGTCGATTGGCTTAAAGGCTTTCGCGTTCATTGGCAGGTCATAAAACCCTTGGCAACAACAAGGGCAACACTGTGTCAATAAAAGTGTCAATCAAATCAATGCGACAGGCTAGCAATTTTTCAAGCTCCCAAGCACATACACTATGCACAGAGGGAAAATTTTGGGATTGAAATAAACATATTTAACTAGGAAAAATGGATTTGGCCCAGTTAAAAAAAGCTGATGCATTTTACTGAAAGTTTTAAAATTGTAAGCTGTATCTCGAAGAGAGTCTACATGTTAATTTTTTCAGTGTATAACCCACACACACTTACTCATTCGTGGCACCGGCTGTTGCATTTTTTTCGGAAAAAAAAAGAGCTGTCACAACAAAAGGACATAAAAACATTGTGGCAACGCGTTTTCCCCACTTCATGTTGACTTGACTAATTTTTTGTGATCGAAGTTTGGTTTATTTCGAATCGTTTTTTTGTTTTTTGTGTTGTTTTTTTTACGGTTGTTTTTTTTCGAGGTCATCAGCTGTCTGTTGTCCTGGCAAACGTTGATTTGATTTTTGGCGACCGTTCAGTGAACATCGGTGATGGTAAACGCTTTGATTATAACAGACTAGGCCAAAAAGGCCATAAACCAGAGAACGTAGACCCAAGGCAGCTGCCAAATGAAGCTGAAAAAATGCAACTAGCAGCTGTCCTCTTTCGTATGTCCTTTTTCATATGCAAAGGGAAAATCTGGAGCGGAATGCGTTCATTTATCAAACTTTGACTGGAGCCAGACCGAGGGAAAACACAAAATAAATCGCTTTGTCGTTTTTGGCCAAAAGTTATAAATGACACAAATTTTGAGGGCCAAGTCAAGAAGCTTTGTCTTTGTGTTTTTTTGGGAGGACAATAAAATGGTTTAGAGAAGGGATAAGAAAAATGAAGAGAACGAACTGAGCAATGATCAGCGAATATTAAACAAGTTAAACAAGTTTTCCAAAGGGAAACCGGAGTGAAAAACAGGTGTTAACCGCTGAGCATATAAATTTGTCTCGCGCTCAATGAAAACGCCGGATTAAGCAGCAATTTGTAAATCCAATACTCAACCCCGAAAATTTATTGCCAAACGTGCCACACATAAAATTCACCCAGGCGAGACAGTTTTCCCTCATTCCTTTCTTTTTTTCCTCTTTGTTGCATTTGCGGAAAATTGTTTTACATTACAGCCAGCTCCAAATTGAATAATGCGTCGGGGATTTTCCAAGGGCCAATACAAACAGCACATAAATTTCGGGGTTCCATATGCAGACATGGTCGGATCTTAAGTGGCTCTTGAGTAAAAAGGGGCGGGGCCTTTGGCTGGTTGGGAAACTGCCACTGACACTTCCTGCGGTCGGAAAATGCAGCTTGAAATCGGTCGGGAATAAGGCGAAACATATGGCGAAAGGGCGGAAGTCGAAGCATCTTCTTGGCTCTCTGACAGCTGTCGAGGCTTAGTTACTGAAGTAGTGATGAGAATGATGGCCACTTTATAAGGAAAATATATCGAATACATTTCAAAAGAAAATTTAACTGCTTTTGCTATTCAAAGTTATTAAAATGTATACAGAAAATATATTAAAAAATAAAAAAACTTAGAAAAAAGCAAATGTTTAATGTTTCCTACTTATTAAAACAATTTTTTTATTGTCCTTAAATTATTTCTACATAAAAAAATGTTTTATAAAAGAAATACAAGTTTTTGTCCTTTTAGTTTTACCTAAAAAAAAATGGGTGTTTTTCTCCTTCTTAAATTCTTTTTCTTTTGTTTAAATATTGTTTAAACCTTCCATCGCTAATGAAAAGCTGTTGCCCCTCGAACATATTGAACAATCCGTCGGTCTTTGAGGTTGTAAGCTGCTCTCCAAATATTTTCCCGGTTACTCCATCATTTGGAAAGTTGATGGCTGGTGAGCAAACACAGACTTCAAAGCGACGGAAAGAAGTCGCTGTCGCTGGACTGTCCCGAAATAAGCTGCTTTGCATTAAGTTTGGAACACTCGGCCCACTTGATTTCATTTGTCATGCTGGGCCATAAATAACTAAAGGCTAAGACGAGGCGCCAAACGTTAATCACAGCAAGTGGAGGAAATCAACAACAGACGGCAGAGGACCTGTGCGGAAAATCAGGGGTGGGAAAATCAAGGGGAAAAACCGGGAAACACCCAACCGACACCACTGACCAAAGTCAACGTCTGACACCAGCATTAATTGCGCATTAATGTTTATTGCTTAACGGATGTGGAAGTGGCGCCATTTTGCCATTTGTCTGTTTTGTTTCTAAGTTCTCTCTCGTATCTGCCCCTCTTTTTCATTCTCCCCATTTCGAAAGGAAACTGTAAGAGCAAAACCGCCGGAATACAGTTTTGATACCCTTCGAATAAAGTCCTCGCTTAAAGCGTGATTTAACTTAATGCTCATTCGGTGGAACTATTGGTTCCGTGCCCTCGGAAACAAAAATAATTGGATTGGCAGAGATTGTGTGACAGCATTTAATTGGAGGCTCCCGAGGGGCTGGATATTATAGATTTTATTGGTTTGACGCGGGGCTGCCATTAAGCTGGCTTTAACTAATGGAAATCTTAAGCTTGACACTTGAAAAGCTGCTCAAAATTTAAGATTAGAAAATGGGTACAAGATTTAATTGAATGACAAAAATATTTAGATACTTTCAGGTATTTCTGGTATTTTAAGGCATTCATAGCATATTAAACTCTCGACTTGCGTAATTTTCTAAACTGTTTTTATTTATCGAAAGTTTTTTTTTTTGAAAATACGAATAACCTTTGTTCTATGGACAAATTATATAATATTTCCTTTAAAATACTTTCTGGAATTTCTAGTATTTTCTGGTATCTAAAGCATATTTAGCTCTCGACTTGTGTAATTTTCCAGACAGACTTTCATTATCTTCTGGCTTTCAATTCCTCGTTTTGTTTCATTAATTTCTTCGCCGGCCCTCCTCTCCCCTTCCCACAAATCCCTTTTTTTTCTTTAACACTCGCTTTTTCTGTCTCTGGGAAATTTGTTTTGTATTTCCGGCTGCACTGAGCTCCAAATACTTCCGGCGACTTGCGCGCCATTCGAGGCTTAAATTTATGGAGCTAGTTTGCGAGCTGTTTCCGCCGCATTTGCCACATGGCTGCCACTGCCTGTGGAGTTGGCTTAAAGCCGCACTAAAATTTACCAAGTGGGTGGATGTGGCTGTGAATGCGGATGGGGATGTTATTTTAAGCGACACTTTGATTGATTATCCCTGGGCAAACTCGCGCCTGAATCTGAATCCTGATGCGGCGGCTTTGACGCGGCTTGGGATTCAACAGCTCTCTAATGAGATGCGTGTGCTTGCATCCATGTGGCACCGAGAATCATTAAGGGGTCGATTGGGCGCATTAAAAGGGGGGATTTGCGCTTAAAATAGCTGATGATTTCATAAATTATAAGTTTGTATTTATATTTTAGCAAAAAATTTAACTAGCTATGAGGAGGGATTTTTTGAAATAGTTATAAAAATAATATACACTAAGTATATTTGCTATAATAAAATTATTAATGCATTTGAAAATTAAAATATATATTTTTGTTGCCATTCCAAAATTGAGAAGTAAATATTTTTTTAATAAATTTAAAATTGAAATATATTTTTAAAATAAGTATGATAATATTTGTAAAGTAAATTAAGATTTAATTTAAATATATGTATCATTAAGATACATGAAAATACATATTTTTAAGTTAATTTATCTTTAATTTATAAATAATAGTATCACTTTGCAACATAATAACCAAGTGGGCCACATATTTGACACCTGGCTAAATTGTTTGTGCCCCAGCTGGACACACAGCAGTAGGCTTGGCTCTCGTCAGATATCGACTAATATTTTCGGCAAACAACCAATCAAAATTCCGGCTTAATTTAAAATGGCTGCAAACGAGGTGAGTGGGTGGTCAGCAGGTAAATTACCTTTTGAGTTTCATTATAAATTCCCCCCAGGACTCGTCGGTCTCCTCACGCATCACGCTTTTCAACCAGCAAGCTGAAGATCATAAAAACTGGATGATGATAAACCCCTTTGCCCATTACAATGTGAGTGAGATGCCCAAGAGGAGTTTCGCGCAGGCGGAATATGGTCGAGCTCCTTCAGGAAGTCTCTCCGAGCAGAGATCCCTGCAGGCCAATGTTCGAGCTCTCGAGGAGATCCTTCAGCTATGCGAAACTATACAGAAATCGGGTCAAGATGATTCAAAAGGTGGTCTTAAAGTGCTTGCTTTTGGGCCACTTTTCGAGCTTTACAACGATATATCCGACAAGCTGTTGGCCACCTTGTTGGGTGCCCGAAAGTATGGATTTGTGGATTTCAGCGGTGAAACCCTTTTTCAAGGTCGCGATAATGGGGTTCCCGTGCGACTGCTCCGCCCCTTTGAGGAGCTTAAAACCGAAATTCTGGCCAAGGTCGCCGATTTGCGTTGCGATTTCACCGAAAAACCCGAGGAATCGACTGTCCTACGCGAGGATTAGCTAATGTTCCCTGAATGTTGCTTAAAAATGGCCAGCAAAACTGTCACCTAATCCCGTGACCCTTGTCAAAAACCGCACGTGTGCCACCCTTTTTTGCAGCTAATTGAATTAAAGTGTGGCTGCCGGGGCGAAAGGCTTTTCCAACGAATAAGCAGGGTGGAAAAACCACCAATCCCGTCACGTATACGACAGGAGGGCCCGCTCGTAAACACCTGAAGCCGAGGGGCTTTTTAAACGCACCACACACACAACCAATCCAGCTGCGATTGTATCACCTCCAGGAAATAAACAAATTACAGCCGACTTAGTTGAATTCTCATATGCCAGGCGGCCGGCGACTTCAAAGTCCTAAACTCGCTCGGCTGACAAATTATGTTGAATTATTCGGTTAGGAGGCAAACCCGTAAGTCATTTGGTTTCTCAGTGTTTTACTTGATACTTGAGACATTGTTAAGAGGTATAACGGAATTTGTTAAAATTTTTAAAAAGGTTTTAATTTTTTGTCATTTGATTCTTTTATTTTATTCTATAAAAAATTTGTTTAACTACCAATAACATTTATTAATAAATTTTTTAAATGTATTTGGAATAATTTCTAATTCCTTATTTATTATTTTTCTTAAAATTATTTCTGTTGCATGATTCGTTTAATTTTAGGTCATTAAAAATTATACCTTTAAATTTTTCTAAAAAAATTTTAAAGACCTTTCCAAAGAATTTGATTCTGTAAATTTTTTGACACATTTCTCAAAATGTTTCATTTTATACCATTTATCATCTGTTTGATGGAATTCACATGTTTCGCATTGCCTAAAATTATTCTAATTTACGATTGACAAGATATTTCCACCCACTGTTGGCAGGCCGTTCCTTTCCCATTGACTCCTCACCTCAATCCCGGCCCCCAAAGGGCATCGCAAATGATTGAATAATGAAGAGCGAATGGCTGAGTTCTCGGTATTTGTGACACATAATTATGATGGAGCGTTCTGAATGCGGGTGGAATAGAATGAAATGATCTAAAATAAACATGTTTCCATGTTTTTGAGAGGGGAAATCAAGCGGGGGTTAAATAGAATTTGTTATGCAAATGTCATGACTCGGCTCGTTGCGCACAACATCCGTTTGCCATTTTTCCTACTGCCAACTCGTGGCGGAAGGCCAAAAATTCGAAGCCAGAAAAGCAGAAAAGCCTCCCACTGGGTGACTCGGAAAATTTCTCTATGTAGGCGCTGATTGTTCGGATTGCTCGAAATAGGGCTTCGCTCCTGCTGGTGAACTATATATTGTTCCGGTTAAATCACAGTCCACACACACGCACAGTTGTTCCAGACAAAGGTAAATAAAACTGGGGAAAAACAAAAGGAAAAAACCATGTGGTCACAGGGTTAACTTCTCGCTTGAACTCGGCCTGCAACTCGGCACTTGAAATTTATTTATTTATTTATGCGCATATTTTTTGGGATTACTAAAGCTTTATGAATTATTGATTTTTTATTCGCACTGGTTACACTCGTAATCGGATTTTTTCTATCATTTATTTGGATTAAGAAAAATAAATCTATAAAACTTAATAATTCATTTTCAATATTTATTGATAATTTTTTAAGCAATTTTTATATATTTTTTTTTAAATTTCTTTAGATTTTTGTTGATTTTTATTTTAACTGGTTCACTTAATTTAGAAAATACTTTATATCCGATAAATATTTAGGATTTAATTATAATAATAATATCCTTTTCATTTGCATAACCTTTTGCAACAATTTTAAAAAAATTGAAAACAATTCACTAAGCTTTTTATAAATGACTTAAATTTTAGCACTGCTCTTAAATGAGCCAAGTAAAATTCCTGCAAAAACATTTTCGAGGCAGCTCCTTAAACTAGCCAACGTTGTAATTGTTATGGGGCACTTCTGGTAATTGCAGTTCCGTAAAAATAAATTCCGTATACATTTTCCCTAGCATCCACAGGGATGCAGCTTAAGTTTCCCAGCTCATTTTAGTCCTTTTTCCACCTCCCTTCAGAGGAAACCCTTTTGAGCTTGTGGCTTTCCCGCTGCGCGACTCTCTGTGATGTCTTGAATTTCCGTCAAAACTTGTAGCTGATTTATGGCCAACTGGGTGGCCGTCAAAGGACACGCTGTTAGCCGGGTAAACTGAGCCACATCCGCTTCCGCCTGAAGAGGCTGCTTCTGCTGAAATCCCAAAGGATTCGCCCACAAAACAAGGTAGTAAGCTCCTCTTGATTAGTCGCCAAAGGTCGCATCGCCACAATGCAGCCAGGTTGATAAGCGCGGGCCATATCATAAAACTGCCATTTGCCATTGCCAGTTGATAAGAGCGGCGCGTGCGGCACCAGCTGGCCATCAGCGAAGAGGTCAATCCGGGGTTATTTCTGGGTCAAGCGCCGTTTCGCCATTCGAATGGCCACGAGCCACTCATGGCGGGCTTACCTGGAAAAATCAAGGGGTAGTGATAGAGTATCTGTTGTAAACATTTAATAAAATAAGTTTTAATTAGTATAATAACATTTTTAATTAGAAATAGTTAGAAATAAAATAAAGAAATATTATAAATATAAAATTTGTATTTAATTAATTAGTTACTTAGTAAATATTGTGGTACCCATAGATCTCACAACTAAAACTAATGTAATCTAATTTAATAATAATACTAAAATAAATTAAATTCAATTTAACTAATTTTCTAAAAATTAAGCAAATTAAGGCGCTTAGCCTGACAATCATCTGTAAAGCAATAATACAACCTAAAGCCAACAGGGTAACTTCAAGTTGTCGACGCTTGTATAACAAGTATTCAAAATCGCCTGGGGGATGTAATAAACATAAAAATTATACATATACCTACCTCTGCACAGCACAGACATATTTATGCATATTAGTGCTAATGTCTGGAGCTGGAGCGATGCGATGGCGTCGTTGAGATAAAACTAAAATGGGAGCTTCTGTATTTCGGTTCCCCATCCTTGTAGGAGGTGGGCGAAAACTTTTCAGACGCACTGCAAACAATGACGTAGCTGCTCCTTAGTCCCTCATTTATGCAAATGGCCGCCATTTGCAGTAGCACAAGGGAAAAAAAGAAAAGAAAAGGACATGGACTCGCATGGAGAATTTATAACAGCAAATGCGTTATTTATTTGCTGTGTTATTGTTTATGATTGTCGGCACTTTATTGCACGTATATAGTATACATATATTATAAGAACAGACATTTACATTTAATTATGGGCAAGCAGCATTTCAGACAGATGGTTTTTCATTTTTTACTCATTATTTTTTGCCGAGACAAGTTTTTATTGTATTTGATTTCGATTCGAATTTATTACTGGGAGTTTTCAAGTGGAGGAGCAGCCATGCAGAAAGGTCACTGCGGATTGGATGAGTCATGAATCCTTTCCCCCTCGAGAACCACGACTTATGATGGAGCACTTGGCAAGGCTCGGAATATTCATAAAAAAAAGAGTCAATTGAGAAGAACCTAGTTGAACGTGGTGTTCAATCAAAAGAGGGTGTGGCGTTGGATCCTTTTCCCAGGAGGTCAAAGGTAAACCGCTTAGCAGAGACTACTCTTTAGTTTATGTAAATGTCAAGTAGAAGGAAATTTAAGTGCATTGGGAAGGACTTAGTTACACTTGGTTAATTTACATTTTTGCTCACTTTAAAAGGGCAATATATCTAAGGTATTGTATTTGGAAACTAAATATAACTCATAATTATAAAATTATGATGAATAATGTTAGCTTTATTAAGTGTATTTGTGTTATATTCCTTAGGTTATAAGTAGAATGCAAATTTTTATACTAAGCAGAATTTAAATTAATACATAATCCATTTCTTTTTATTTGTTGACATTCTTAACTGGAAATATTTTAGAAAATATTTATTTTATATTTTCATAACATGCAGAATTTAATTTGATGAAAATTCTTTTTTATTTTATTTTATAAATTATTTTCAAATAAATCCAGTCTACTATAGGTGTTCTTTTTTGTTGCCGGTCTCAATCTATTTTATCTTTCATAGCAATTTATTTTAGTTTATGACTGCAAGTCAATTTCAAATCAATTTCCACCTGTCAGAAGCCATCGTGAGTTATCCAGTTATCCATCTTGGGCGGCACATGGCTATGGCACCTGGACGTCTGTGCTCTGTTCTCCGTTCTCAGGTCCTGAAAAATGCATCGCAAGTGGAAAATACAGTATAAGCCAATTTGAATCTGGCACGAGCTGTCGCCAAGTGTCGACATTTTCAAGAGCTTCTATTTTCTTGGCCTAAAAAAGAAGGCAAATAAGCAAAGAGCCAGACACTCAACATCTGCATCTCGGAATGCAATTCCGCAACCGAAGTCCAAAATGAAATTATGTGAATTTTACGCTGAAGTCAGTTCTCCCCTCTTCCTGTTCTCATTTCAAGAAAACTTCTGGCGGAGGAAGTGCAAACTAGGCCGGAAGTTTAAATAATACACTTTAAAAATTATATGCTTCGTATTTTAAATAATAATTTCATTCACTTTTCAACTTTAATATTTATTAAGTAAATTTGTAAAACATTTTTTTGCTTTTGATAAAAAAATAAATAATAAATAAATTTTAAAAAAGTTTTTTCCATCCTTTATAGAATGTTTATAGAATCTGCAATCACTGCTTATCTTATAGCGGAGCACTTTAAACCTTCTCATAGAAAATTAAATCGTCTTCTATAATAAAGACGTATTATTAATAGTCCTAGTTTCATTCCTTTCAGCATTCTGGGAAAAGCCAAAAAACAGTTTGACAGAGGGTAGCAAAACCAATTTAATGATAGTTTAATTTTTTTTTACTCTAAGAAAATATTTTAGTAGAAATTACCAGACATTACATCTCTTAATATTTTTTATAATTATTTTTTCATCTGAATATTTTTATGACTATATTTCTCTGTATTTTTTGCTGCCTAAAATATTAAAGTCCCTCCTTTGAGTGCGTGTTACGTCCGTAAATCTGCCGCTGAATCCGCATGAAGTTTCCTTTTCCCCTTTTTATTATTTTGCTGACCACTTGCTGCCAATAAATCGGTTGGCAGTGGGCGGTCGCTTTGGTCGCCGGATTTGTTGTGTAATTGTGCGAGTCAAGTGAGTATCGCAGTGGGTCGGGGGTCATAAAGGTTAAGCCAAGTGGAAATGTCGGGGTGATTAATCTGAAAAGTCCCCCGCCCGAAAAAGGTTACGTTCCGCTGGTCAGTGGCGATTCTATTAGAAAACTTTTATATCGTCGGGCGGTTAAAGTGTCAAAAAAGCGAGGCAAATAAATGAAAACTCTTTGGCGCGTCATGCCATTGATTGGCATGGCCACCCACTCAGAACCCAGTTTCACTTTCTTACTTTCGAAATTGTTGTCTTTTTTTTTGGGGTGGAAAAGGAAGGAAACATCATCTGTCAGACAGCCAGGCAGCCGTCTTATTGGGAAATGAAAATATTAAAAATATATATTCCGACTGTCGGGAGGCCAAAGGAAAGCCATCGCACTGACAGGTGAAGGAGCGGGAAAAGGAAAAACCCAAAGGGAAAATAAATCAGCGAGCCGTAATCCGCCGCGTTGTCTCTGAACTGAGCTTTGCAAGTTTCGCCGCCTTTTCTATGGCTTTTCAACTGACGAAGAGACAAGAAAAAAGCTTAAAAACTCAGGCACATGCCACCAACGGATCAAGTTTGAGGGTTTCCCCCCGAAATAAGTCAAAAAATTAATGTACAAGATATATTCAAAGAAATATTACAATACAATAAAGTACAATTTAATTTAGTACTTTTTCAGTAAGCATTGCCAAGATTTTAACAGCAGAAACCTTAGAAAAGAAAAATACAATAAGTGTGGGATGACAATTTATTGTCAAGCTGGATAAACGCATTTGTGCCAGCTGATATTATCAATCATAAGATAGAAAATTTCAAAATGTCATTGAAGGAAATGTTAGAGTTCAATAGGTCTTCAAAGGGCACATTCCCTACATAACAACAAGGAATAAATCGAAAGGAAATTTCAACTCAAAACTTCACAACAAAGAGTTGATAAATATGAAAAATCTGAATGAACTGTAAATAATAAAATATTTATAAGAAGATTTAATCCATATAACAAAATAAATTAAATTAATTTAAAACTTTAAGTCAAATTTTTGATGAATAAATAAAAATCTAAGCATCACCATCAAATAACTAAATTTTATAAAATTATAAATATTAAAAACTTTATTAAAAAAGGTTCAAAGCATTTACTTAAACAACTATTATATTTTAAATTTACGAAAATCACCAAAAAACTCCTATACCATTTTTTTTTATTTTAAATTTGTTATTTTCTAGTCAAGCTTCATGTCAGAACTTTCGAATATTGTGCCAAGTAACTATTCCCATCGGTGCAATTAAAACCGTCTAATGACTTGTGACCGCTGGCAAAAAAAACTTTGCTATATTTGGACACTTGGCACTTGCGAAAAGCACTTGGCTCATCCTTCGCCCACTTCCGCTGGAAAAACAATGCTCGTCGGTCTCTGGTCTTTGGCTGCCCAAACAATAAACATTAAATTAATTTCCTCGAGCGCTTTCCACCCACGCAGCGAGTAAATTTCACTTATCCCAGGCCAGACCCCTCCACCCATTTGTGAGTTTTGTGGTGCATTTCCGGCGGTGGTATTGGGAAATAGACGAGCATACGGGTGTCTAGGCGTTCCTCAATTGCACAAACACAGAAACACACAAACAAACACAAACAGTGGTCATTATAGAGGGGCATAAAACTTGATTGTTCGCCTTACGACATTTGGCTGCCTTATAAATAGACCGACAGACAGACAGTCACTTTCACTGCGTTGCAATGGTTATTGCAATGTTGCAGCAACATGCACAACTTGCAGTAATGACGACGCCAATTTTCCTTTATGAATGAAAATGCCCCGGAAAAGAAGCAACATTTCCGCCGGCGCATGCCCACTGTTTTCCCGCAACAATGTTGCTGGCGGCGGAAAAGCCGGAAAAACTAAGCGGAAAATTCGGCGGCACAGTTGGCAGACAGCTTTCAACGCGTTCGCCTCGCAAAAAGCGTTCGGAAAACGTATTTCGAAATATTTGATTTAAAAATATCACTCATACGCACGGGAGAGCGTGAGAAAGTGAGAGTGCACCGATATTCAAACGAAAAATAAATAAATAAAAACCAAGTTTTGTTTATACAAATCATCCAAACGGAGAAAGTGTTTAAATAATACCTCCTGTAGTATACATATATAATAAAGTGAAAATATATTTATAAATATATTAAATATATTCCGGCGATGAGTGAGTGAGCAGCATCGATAAAAAGCTCCCCAGAGGCAAAACGTGAAAATTATCTCCCCTGAAAAATCGAGGAAGCCAAAGAACTCTCAGAAAATCGAATCGTTGATCATTCCATTCCAATTTAATTAACCCCAGCGCGCCGACAGTCCCTTGGCATTGATTGTTGACATTCTCGCCGCCAAGATATGCAAATGGGAATATGCGAATATCTTGTTGTAAATTAAATTCCCAAGGTAAGCAAATAACTCTTAATAAGCCTATTAAAACAACTGCCAAAGGAAACAAAAACAAAAGACGGAAAACGTGTGTCATAAAGCATGCGTTTTGCCTTAAGAAAGCAAAATGTCAAGTGGCTTTTTTTATTAGCATCCTTGGGTGTTGGGGAAAATCCTCATGATTTTCATGTCGATAAGCCGCAGCATGTTGAATATTAAAAAGATTAATTTATTGCTGTGTGTGGGAACCACTCATGTGGCGGCTTGTCGAAAAGGAAAATATTCCACAAAGGCTTTTTATTTTTTATTGTCTGGGGGAAATGGCGATGGAGAAGGACTCCTTCTGCCGCTGACGGGTTATCCGTGAGATGCAATCGCTTCAACATATTCGATATTTGCATAAAAGTTTTCATTGAAAGTGGCTTCCTCAGTTTCTTCTGGTTTTTATTATGACATGCGAATTCTAAAGAAAAACATATTGAAAAGAGTTCTTTATTGCGTAAAGGGGAACAAACAGTACAAGATGTAATACAGCCACTTATCGAATTCTATCAAATTTGATAACAATGCTGGAAAAAGGGAAACTGCTTCTTGGGTACTGCAACTTATATTTAATTTGATTTCACATTGCTGGAATTTTTTCTTGAGATTAGATTTTTTTTTATTAATTTTAACAAAAGTAAATTGAAAGGAAAAAGGCTACATTTTCTCCGAAGGAAAAACCTAACTGTCAAAGACATTTTTCCTTCAAAGAATACAAATTTCTTGTTATTCAATAAACCATACTTAATTTGTAAACAAGGTAGCCAATAAATAAATAAAACTGAATTTTATTTGAGCTAGCATTAAATTGAGTAAGTTAGCTTGGGGCTTTAATTGTCGTACTAAACTACTTTAATACTATTTTGCTTTGCCAAACTTTGTCTGCCGTTATTTTTGGACAGGTAAAGCAAGAAGATTTACATTTTAATTAAAAGCAGAAACCTAATAAGAGATGATAGAAAGATTACAGTGAGAAGTACTTCAAGAATGCGAATTAAAAACTTTTCACCCGAGTTTCTTGGCCTTAAATAAATAAGAGGGAGCTCATAAAGTAAATTTACATGCCACATCTTTTTGCTGTCTTTTATATGTATATTTTCATCCAGGTGCTGCCATTCAAATTTATTCACATGCATTTCTCTTATCCACAAACTGCATATTAATTAACTAAATGCTGCAAATTTATTTATACACGAGCTGGCAGAAAAAGTAAACAAAGAGAAGCTTGCGGGTGAAGAACTCAGACTGAAAAACTCAGACTCAGGGGTAAAATGGATTTTTTGTGGCCTTGGGTTAAATGCTGCAGGCAAATAGATCTTGAGCCTTTCCTTTTTCCCCTTCGCTGCTACTTAATGTCGCAATGATTAAGTATACCACGTGAGGTACTTCGCAGGCAACAATGCAGCGATTATTTACCCTAAACGCAGCCATTCAGGAAAACAACAGCGTGAGCCATTAAATAGAAAAATGGGAGATTACACGGTAATAAACATCATTTTCTTACTAAAAAAAAATATATTAAAAACATAACAACAGTTTTTTAAATACTCGTCAAAGAGAGGAGAGTATTTATTAAAATGCATTAAAATTAATAAAATAAGTAAAAAATTTTAAAAATTAAAAATATAAAAATAATTTACATTTGTTAAATAATTAAAATAATTTTTGTTAGTTAAGTGTAAGAAAAACATGCAAAACATTTTAAAATTTAAAAATTAAAGGTTGCATTTTTTTCAGTATCAAAAGAGTAACAATGAACTGAGCGCGTTGGGGCATAAATCAGTTGCTCTACGGAGAAAATGCAGAAAATTCACCTGGTCATTGAGCAATCAAATTGTGCGAATTTCGACAATTAGTGAACCTGGGACGACGAATGCCTTTTGGACTCCTGGGAAGACCTCCTCCGCAGGATGCTCATTAAAACCGAAATTGCAACAGAAATATGCAAATGATAGCGGGGGCAAAGGACAGGCTGGACATTCACAGCCATCCCTCGCCTTTCGGCCAAAAGTCGCATTTTCTTTATTTCTTAGCGCTTTTCCTTTGGTTTTCCGAGTCTGCCGTGAGTGTCGAGAGCAAAAGCCTTGAAACTGTCAACTAAAAATAAATCGCAAAGAGCTCGCTTTTCTCTCTCTTTCGCTGCGAAATATAATAATTATTATTTGGTGTGTTTTCATTTCATGCCGCACAAACCAGATTCTTTGACTTTTATATGTTTTATTTTTTATTTGGCTTTATATGCTCAACATATGCGGCTAAGCAGAGCACCACCACTCTCTATTCTATAAATTTTGCGTTCACGAAACACTAAATCCAATGCTATATGTGTCTATAAGTAAAACGAATTCCGCAGGCACATGGAATCACAATGGAAAAGTGGAAGAAGGCAAACATAAGTTAATATACTTAAGCTGCTTAATTAAATAAATTCAGGAAAAATGCCAGGCGTGTCGAATGATATATGGTCTTGCAAGAGTGCGGATTTATAGGGGTTCTTGTGGGGTTTTTTCAAGTTATATTGTTACCAAAATGAGTGTATATTGTATAAATATACTTTGACTATTTTTCTTTGACTAATTAAATAGGTATTTACTTTTAGGACAAGCTAAGAGTTTATTTTTACGTTTTCAAAACTAAAATTTAAATCTTTTCACTTATTTCTAAATTTTAAAGAGAATATTATAGCCTTCTGATATTTTTATAATTTATATATATATTACCAAATACTAACAAATCCTTATTCGAATTTTTCTAACATTATTTGTTACTAAGTACCTTTGATTTTCTCAATGAAAGACTTCTCCTAAATATTAATGGCAGTAATTTATTATGCCCCCAATTAATAGTTACCACCTGTTCAGCGACCAATAGGATGTTCATATCCGTTTCCACCCACTCGAGAATTTTTTCTATATATTCCCACTTAAATAAGGAAAACAAATCCACTCGGCACATGCCAAAAATCCCAGCCAAATGAAAATGACACAATCCAGACAATCCGGCGCCCAAACTAAACATGGATTTTCCACACTAACAACCAAACTGCACTCACTCATGGAAATCCACACACAAAGAAAGGCTAGAGAAAATGGGAAAACAAAAAGGAGAATGAATGGCGAAGAAGCATTCCACATGCAAATTGCTTTCTGAATAATTAAGCTTAATGTCGTTCACAGAATGAAACATTAATTGAAACTATTTGTCGCTTTTCAGCATGAAAAGTGAAAGTGAAAGGATGCGACGTGTCGGTTCTAATTATCCTGGCATTGATTTGGCCATAACAAACACACACGGCTGTAAATAAAATTCCATTTAATTATCCACATTCAGTTTAATTGCTTCGGCACTTGAAAGTGCAATTAGCACTACGGGGTGCATTCGCCAGCACTTTATTCATAAAGTATTTATACGGAGGGCGGGAAAAAAAGCGAAATATCGTTTATACCTTAACTGGGAAAATTGTGTGGCTCAGCCAAAGTTCACACAACTCATGACCATTCCCATTTTTTTCGCGAAAGAGTTTAAAAGCTTAAAGTTTTCCGGCTGGCTTGCATGTAGATTTCAGTCAGCTTTTAGTGGTTAAGCCGCATAATCCGAGCTGTATTTATGGTTCATTCAGTCATTCAGAAAGCTGTAAAAAACGGTTTGCCCCAAAGAAGATTGTTTAATGGTTTTTGGGAATTTCAGTTTAAGTTAGAAATATGGGAATTTTACCACGCTCGGATTTTTTGACGCAATAGAACAAATTGTTGAGGTTTTTCAAGAGAATTTTGGGAAAATCAAATTTAGATTTACGTTTTCTAATATTTTTTAAAGTATTTTAATTGTTTAATTTTGATTTATTGACTCTGATTTTTCGCCACAATAGAATATATTTTTGAAGGTTTTCAACATATTTTTGGGAACAGCAAAAAATTTAGTTAATGTTTTCTAATAATTCTAAATATGAATTTAATTCTTTCTGACTGAAATATATTTTTTAATATTTTGAAACACAGCAAATTGTTTAGTTTAATGTTTTGTAATATTTTTCAAAATATTTTATCTGTACAATCATTGGAATTAATTACATTTAAAATTAAATATATTGTTTTATATTCAACAGTCTAAGTTTATAATTTTCCGCCTAATAAGGCACTCAAAAAAAATATGGAAAGGACATTCAAAAGGACACTCATCATCCTCGTCTTTGATGTTTGTTGTTGTTTTTCCCCAGAACATGTGAAACAACAAAAGCCGAGTGAAAAAAACGCCTGCCAAAGTAACAAAGACCAAAAGGCAGTGAAACCGAAAAGCCTCTGTTTTCTCATATTTTTTTCTACCGCGCGACAAAAAGGAAGGGGTGGGGTATTCCGAATACCAGAACTGCCGCAATAAAGCCAGCTGTGGGGAAAAATTGCTGGCTAGGATCGAGTGTTTTTTTTGGCCAGGCCAGGCTGGGAAAAAGCAATTTCGGAACTGGTCGTGTGGGCGATTTACCAATGTCAGGGCCGTAAAAAGTAAATGTGTGAGTCACACGGTGGCCGAGCAACTAAAGCAGCTAAAACCGGACACGTGCAGGCCGTCAAGAGTGGCAAAAAGGGATACAGGCATTAAAGATAATTGCCCTTATAATTGCTCGGACAGTTGGAGCGAAGGTCCCGAACCGAAAGCACTTCCATTCTCGCCTCTAATTGAGATAATCGCATTAGAAAGGGTCCCCCAGGGTCGCAGGTTTGGTTCAACGATGCTCAACGACACCTGCAGCAGTCCAATGACCGCAAATCGCCGACCACTTAACATGCAAAACAACTGCACCGGACACTCGCAGTTAATCAAAATGCTCCTCCTGCTGCCGCTGCACAGATAACAAATGCAAAACTCACCAAATATCACGCATACGCAGCGTGAGACCCGGCCATGTGTGTAACATGCGCCCTCTGCCCCTTTTTGCATCCCCTGGTTAACGGAGCAAAACCGCAAACATCGCACAAATATACACCCCCGGCCACAATTACATGTATCATATAATCAACAACTGCAAATTGCAAATTGCCGCACTCTTTGTTTCACTAACCTGGCCATAAATTACGTCAGCATTGATTCACAATCGCATTCGACATGGGAATATATATTGATTTCATTACACAATCAGGGGAATAAGTCACACAGATGTCCTGCTTATGATCACTGAAGGAAAACACAAAATATAAAAATAAAATTAAAATAAAAAATTTAGTAAAATTTAATAAAAATATTTGAAAAAATAAACAATTAATAAAAATTTTAAAAATATCAAAATTTATAGAATACCTACATAATTAAAATATCAAAAAAAACTTATGAAAATATTTATAAAATCAACAGCCGCCATATAAATATTTTACTTCATTAATAAAAGTCAAATTTACGCCAATTAAATTTCTTATGGCTTTTCCAATCTCTTTATATCATATCTCGTTAAAAGTCACAGTGTATAAACATTTATAAGAGCTCTCTAATTTTATCTATAGTTTCTCAGGCAGCTGGCCGTTTTATCTTATCTCAAATTCAGTTGCTCGAATATCACGCTTGCTGTAAGCTGTTTAAATCATCGCAAAACTGAAATCTTGTAAAGTTATTTTAACTCTCAACCCCAATAAAACATACACAGTTTGCGGAAATCAATTTACATACATAAAAATGTGTTCTTTTGTGTGAAAATTTAATGCTGGTTAAAAATCTTAGTATCTCAGCATTTTACGAATAAGTTAATTAAATTGTTAAACGAGTTATATTTTGTTTGTAAATTAAAAACGCCTAGTTAAAATATCAAATTTTTTTATTTTGGTCCAAAATGACTTAGAGCCATTTTTATATAATTTTTTTTAGGTGAAAGGAATCTAAATCACCAAATTTTAGTATTGTTATATTTCTAATTTTTTATATTTTCGAATGTTGCTTTCTTCCCAACATTCCCTTTTTTATCTACCATATCTACTATTTATTTTTGCCAGTACCCATCTAGTTACAAATGCGACGAGCTATCAGTCGCTGCTCGCATTTTGGCCCCATTCTTTTTGTATCTGTGTCTTTGTTTGTTGGTCAAATGGATTGTGAATGTGTTTGTGTGGTTTCGTTCGTTTTTGGTTTTTGGCCACTTAAGCTTGATTGATGTGTCAAAAATGTGACATTCAATGGGCGCGGCGGCGGTGTGAGAATTCGTGATATTTACACGTGGCAACGACATATTTAGTGCGAGAAACCGAGAACCGGAGAACCCTTAAATGATTTAGTGGCCACACTTGTTGCCACCCAATTCGACGATAACGGGTGAGAACAAATAAAGTGAATTAAATCATTAGAGTGTGACAAACACAGGACCTTCATTAGGGGATAATGGCCAATAGAAATCGGAACTACAACACTATACTGTATATTCTATTCAGCACAAAAACCAATTTCAATGGCAATTAGGGGCGAATCCTTTTTGGGGACAGCAAAATGTTTCCAACTAATTTGCTGTTAGTTTTGGTTAGTCTTTATAATGGAGATTACGGGTTGTGGTTGCTCTACTATATATTTAGTTGAACTTACATGCTATCAAGATTGACACACTGATAGCAAAAACTTGATTATATGGATGGGCAGATAATTTATATATGATCAGTAGAGCAGATAAGAAAATATAAATAAACGGGGTGATTTTTTTGCAGTATCCAAGTGATGATAAAAATTTGGTATTCCTAAAAAATTATGGTAAAAATATAATATTATTTATATTTATTCTGAAACTTGTTTTTTTACACAGGAACACAAAATTAAACTTTGTGAAATTTCCACGAACCATTTCAAGTTTTCTATGATATGTGGGTGCTTCTGAGTAAAAGTCCCATACAAAATTATTTTCCATCACCTACAGGTTCCGCGGTATAGCTAATAATACAAAAAACCGATGTTTACCGACATTTTGAATTACGTGGCTTATATAATTGGACTAACCTTTATTATTTTCGGTAGGACATACTCTCAATACATCACGGCATTCCTAAAAAATAGTCCCCATTGTGAACCATTGCCCATGTCTTTGGAATTCGACGCCAAAGGTGAAAATCCCAAAATTGTAGAGATTTTTCTGATGTAAAAACAATTCTGAGGATTAAATCTTGAATGGAAGTAATTTTAACTATTCATTGTATCTATTGTTCATTGTATGCTTTAATTTCGGTTTAAAGCGTTTTCATTAGGACATTTTATTGGATTTCTTATACTAATAAAACCGATTTTTTGATTTCATTATCTACTCCTAAATGTTGTCAAATTTTGAATAAGTCATGGCAACCTCTAGAACTAAGAAACTAAATACGTTCACTGAACATACATAGAGAAATGTATATGTTTACTTTCATTCTGTAGGATGCCTTGACTTTTTTAAAATTTGACAACATTTAGGAGTAGATAAAGAAATAGAAAAAAACGGTTTTATTAGTATAAGAAATCCCATAAAATGTCCTCATGAAAACGCTTTAAACCGAAATTAAAGCATACAATGAACAATAGATACAATGAATAGTTAAAATTAGTTCCATTCAAGATTTAATTCTCAGAATTGTTTTTCCATCAGAAAAATCTCTACAATTTTGGGATTTTCACCTTTGGCGTCGAATTCCAAAGACATGGGCAATGGTTCACAATGGGGACTATTTTTTAGGAATGCCGTGATGTATTGAGAGTATGTCCTACCGAAAATAATAGAGGTAAGTCCAATTATATCGGCCACATAATTCGAAATGTCGGCAAACATCGGATTTTTGTATTCTTAGCTATACCGCGGAACCTGTAGGTGATGGGACATAAGTTTGTATGGGACTTTTACTCAGGAGCACCTAATAATCATGGAAAACTAGAAATGGTTCGTGGAAATTTTTTGCTGTGTACCTGTGTTATTTGTCAATATTCATTCTTGATTAAATAGCAAATCTAAGTGCCACAATTCTGATTAAATTTTCGTTTAGATTTTGCATTCCCCACGCTCTCTCCGAAATTCCCTTTCATCGAAATGTAATAAGATATTCCTTAGGAAGCTTCTAACACGCCCTTTCCTTCGACATCTTGGAATAGTTAATTTCCAGAATATTAAACTTCTGACGAGGCCAAGGGGATAACAAATGGGCGAATCATTTTGAAACGTAATAACCTTGTTCTAATTATAGAACTAATTGTTACAAATTTACCTGTGAAAGCAGGAGGCATCAATTAGGCTTCCTTTTAAACAAGAGGAAGAACAAGAGGCCAGCAATTGACACCAAAGGCATTTATAATGCGCACCGAAAATGTTTTGGGTCTCCGGGAAACATACATATATCTTACTTATTTCCCCAGCCTACCAATAAGTTTGTTTGGGGGAACTGGGGGAAAAGCTTCTTGTTGTTAATCGATATAACCTAAGTTACCTTGCTCAAGGACACTGAAAATAAACTATATGTATTATTATAATTATCTCTTATAGAAATTTAATTAGGTAAATCAGAAAATTAATAATATTTATTTTTCTAAACAGATAATATTTGTTAAATATTCCTATTTATTATTTTTCTTGACAACAAATAATATTTACTCAATACAATTATAAATGGAAAGATGCGAAAAAAAGGCTTAAATGTAACAAAACAAAAAAATTTTAAATATTTGTAGATTATAAAAAATACCAAACGCTTATACTGGTATATTTATATAAGTTTTAAATATTTTTAAAAATTTCCTCATATATTTTTCTCAGTGCTCAACTTGCAAGCTTGTTTAAAACGACCTTCCATTTTTCATTTCCTATTTTGCAGCTTAAAGTGTCGACGGCGCCGGCTTTCAGCCAGGACAAAGGACATCCTCGTCAGCAGGTGCTCGTGACCCCTGACCCGTGACCAAAGCCAAAGAGAAGCAGGTGGAACATTAAGTACCCGACCTGTGGCCGCAGAATTGATGTTCGGGCGAAAGTTTCCCCTTAGCTGCCCAAATGTTGCGCCCACGATTCGAGTAGTAGGATTGGGCTTGCTGATCGGGGAGGTGACTAACCAGTAGTTGGACTCCAGGAGAACTCCACAATGAGTGGAGCAGCGGTAGCGCGGCTCCTGCTCCGCTTGGAGCTGCCCTCGCCGGGAGTAATGCCACCACCGCCCACCGACTACGATTACGGGGGAGCCATCAGCGAGGATGAGTTCCTGGCCAGCGTGATGGCCACCGAGGGTCCAACGGTTCGCTACGATCTGTACCCTATAAACCATAATTACTCGCAAACCAACCTGCATAACCACTCGGAGGTGCAAACGGATCTGCAATATCCCCACTACGAGGATTTGGGTCTGGATCCCGATCCCAATTGGACGCGCATCTGCGAGGATGTTTATAATCCTTCGCTGGAAAATAATCGCATAGAATTCTGGGTGTGTGGCGTGCTCATAAATATCGTTGGAGTGTTGGGCATCCTGGGAAATATTATATCCATGATTATACTATCGAGACCCCAGATGAGATCGAGTATAAACTATTTACTCACTGGCCTAGCACGTTGCGATACTGTTCTCATCATCACCTCTATACTGTTATTCGGAATACCCTCTATATATCCATATACGGGTCACCTCTTTGGCTACTACAACTATGTGTATCCCTTTATATCGCCAGCGGTATTTCCCATTGGCATGATTGCCCAGACAGCGAGTATATATATGACTTTTACAGTGACACTCGAGAGATATGTGGCCGTTTGTCATCCGCTTAAAGCGAGGGCCCTCTGTACTTACGGTCGAGCAAAGATATACTTTATAGTATGTGTCTGCTTCTCCCTGGCCTATAATATGCCGCGTTTTTGGGAGGTCCTTACTGTAACCTATCCCGAACCGGGTAAGGATGTAATACTCCACTGCGTGAGACCCTCGAGATTGAGGAGATCGGAGGCCTACATAAATATATACATACACTGGTGCTACCTGATCGTGAACTATATAATACCCTTTCTCACCTTGGCCATTCTAAATTGTTTGATATACAGACAGGTGAAGAGAGCAAATAGAGAACGGCAGAGATTATCCCGATCGGAAAAGCGGGAAATTGGTTTGGCCACCATGCTGCTGTGCGTGGTGATAGTTTTCTTTATGCTGAACTTTCTACCCCTCGTGCTCAATATTTCAGAGGCCTTCTACAGCACCATCGATCACAAGATCACCAAGATATCGAATCTGTTGATTACGATCAATAGCAGTGTTAATTTCCTGATCTATATTATTTTTGGGGAGAAATTCAAGCGCATTTTTTTACTCATTTTTTTCAAGCGACGCCTGAGTCGTGACCAACCGGATCTTATCCACTACGAGAGCTCCATATCGAACAACGGCGATGGGACGCTGAACCACCGATCCTCCGGCCGCTTCTCGAGGCACGGCACCCAGCGGAGCACCACCACCACCTATCTGGTGGCCACTGGAGGACCAGGAGGTGGAGTGGGAGGTCCAGGTGGTGGCGTTGGCAATAATTCCCTGAACAATGTACGCCTCACCCAGGTGTCGGGGTCACCAGGTCTCGTCAAGATCAAACGGAATAGGGCTCCATCCCCGGGACCGGTGGTCTACTTTCCCGCCCGCGAAATGCAGAGATCTGCTTCGACCACAAATTCAACCACGAATAATAATACCTCCATTGGTTACGACTGGACGCTGCCGGATAGCAAGAAACTGGGACATGTCTCCTCCGGATTTTGAGACTGTCCCGACGCCGGGTGAAAACGAAGAGGGAGTGGGTCAAAGGGTTAAACGGGGTTACTCTAGTCCACTAGACTTGTAAATAAGAATAGGCGAAAAGTATAGGGCTTAGCAAACAGCTGTGGTCAAAATAATAGTTACAGTAAACTGATTTTGAAAATTTGTACAGAGTTAAGAATCTCTTAAAATTAAATAAAACGGAAAGGATGGTTAGAACTTTGCTAACGAAATGTGTACACAAACATATTTTTTATGCTTCAAAAATTCAAATTTCTTAAACAATTGTGTTAAAAAATATTTATTTTATAGTTTTTTTTTAAAATTAGTTAAACTTATTGAAAATTCCTACCAAAGAAATATATATCTGGGTTTTTAAAAATCGAATCTGTTGTAAAAATTATTCTTATAAAAAGTTGATAGTTACTTTGAACTAAAATAATTTAGTTATAATTATAAATTTTATAATATGCTTTGAAAATATGTAATTTCTTAAAACCAGTGCTAATATTTTGATCGCAGCTGTAACTACTATATATTAAGCTGTACAGAAGGCATAAACTAAGCGCTCCAAGCGTTGCGTTACTTTGTGATAAGCGTTAAGTGTTTCCTTTCTTTATTTCTCTACTACTCCTCCAAAAACTTTACTCGTTGATATAGCTCGTAAGACAGTTAGTTTTGCCAGCGATCAGGCTGAAAAAATTATAAAAAGTTTCTTAGACTGAGAAGTTAATATATTTTCGCCTTTCATTTTTGCCTTGTTCAATCAATTGAATTTGTATCAATTTCGCACTAAATTAGTCATCGAAACTTTTTCGAACCCAATATCGTTTCACTTTCCACTGGCCTTTGGCCAAAGTTTTATTTATTAGCGTAAACTTTGGCTGCCTTTAATTAAATATCCTTTACAGCGCATTTTTCAGCCGAACTTGATGAATGATTTTCCTTTTCTTTGGCTGATTTGGGTTTTCCGAACTTTTCGATTTCCCCCTCACTTTTCCGGAAACTGAGTTTCTTTTGGGTCTCTCTGGAAAAAAAAATAAGAAGGCCAAGCAATCTGTCAACTTGTCAGAAAGTTTTCAAAACGCCGCTCAAAGTTCAGTCAGCTCAAAAGTTTGCCAGCATTATTTAGTCACCCAAAACAAGAAAGAAAAACTCAAGTAGCTCAATTTAACAGCAACTGCAACAATAATAAACTCAACAAAAGAAAAAGACATTTTCAGGTGTTCACAAAAGAATTATTTTTACTGCTCCAACGGCCCTCTGAATAAAATGTAATCCCCCCTCTATTGTGTAAATACATCTAAGAGTTCTGTAAATATTTAAAATTTAGCAAGTATGCAAAGCATAAAAGAATACCAAAGATATGAAATTTAGATTTCAATTGAGATTACCAAAGAGTCCAGGAAAGGGGATCCTAAGTAATTGTATAGTTGGGTTATTGGGTGGATCAAAAACAGATCCAATTATAACGCAATTATTTATTTTGTTATATTTTCCTTTATAACTTTTAACCCACATTTAATTGTATTCTTATAAAAAAGACTATTAAAGAGAGATAAATAAATTTGCAATGATAAAAAATAAAAGCATGTAAAAAATGATGCAATCATAACCAAATAAATCACCATTTTTTTTTAAGCTTATTTTTTATATTTTTCTTAATAACTTTTTAACTAAATTTCATTTAATTCTTGTAAAAACTCCCTTAACGGAAAGATAAATAAATCCCCAATAATTCAAAATAAAGACAACGATTTAGTATCCCCTTTTCCTAAACCAAATAAACCTTAATTTATTTAGATCTAGCTTAGCTTTAATATTGTATAGTCTTTAGCAAATACGTAATGGAAACTAATATAAATAAATTCAACGATTGTGCAAAATAAATGATGATGAGAAAAACCGAAATGTGCTTTTAGTGTGCGAATAATTTACAGAAAATTTTTCAGGCGTCCTGGATTTGCATTGATTTTCAGATTTTGCACCGCAATTACCACCGGCCGCCATAATAGGCAAAGTTTACTAGCCAGACGACGCAGTTTGGAAAATGATAACGAGCACTTAAGACGGCCACTTGCAATTCAATTTGGCCGGGTCCTGTCGGATAATTGCCAACAGGACGATGGGAAAATCTCGGTTTTGGTTATGGGAAAATCTAAAATGGGGTGGTTTTGGGTAAGAATGGGCGAGGAGTATGAGGTCCTTGCGCATTTGCGTATCTTATGCTAAGCACGTTGGCAGGATGTCGACTTTAGTCAAGACAGTCGTGAAGCCGGTAATAATGCTCCACAGCCCCACAAAGGAATTTAAATAATAATAACCATAACAATAAGATACAAACACACACACACGCACGCACAAAGGGGGTGGTGGGTGGTGGCAAGGTCGAATCGCCCAGGTGGCAACCTGCCGGAGTGAATTACCGTCCGCACGTGAGCTCCCAAGCTAATAATGGGGATATATACACCGATCCAAGATAACGGCAAATAATTGGAACAAGGGGAGCAAAGGCAAACAAAAGCACAACCCATTTAAACTGGATATTATTGCATGTTTCCTGAAACTGTCATGCACACCTACAAATTTATTTGTGTTGGTAATGTATGGTTTTAATATGCCCAAACAAAAGGTCGAGAGCTTCGTTTTAGGAATTAAATAATTTACCGGTAGAGTTGAGAATTCAATTAACTTTTTTAAGCACTTGTATTGCTACTAATTTAGGACATTTTTATTTAAAAAAAATGCATATATAAAAAAGTTAATAAGCCATGTTAAAAGAATAAATATTTAATTAAATAAAAAATCCTCTCTTATGTGAAGAAAATTATAATTTTATTATTCAGCAGCAAAAATGATTTATGACTAAACTAACATTATGAAAGTTTAATTATTCAAAGTGTAATTAAATATTTTAATTGTCAAATAAAAAACATAAAAAATACAGTATATTAATGTCAAATTAAATGGTCAAAGGAACATATAATTTAATAATTACATTTTCATTATAAAAACGTTTATTTTGTAGTTTACTTATTTCATAACTGAATTATTAAGTTACACTTTGAATATATAAACTCATCAGGTATTAATTAAATCACTTGTTTGTTGGGATCATTAATTAGATTTTCTCATTCTGCCAGACTGAGTTACAAATAATTTCGAAACCTTGGTTAATATTTCACCTAATATTTATCTTCCTGCTCGGTGAGAAAGTAAGTCCTCCAACAATAAGCACATAATTAAAGGTGTGCATATCTGCGAAACCTGGCACAAAACCTCATGAAATACTTTAACGCCTCGGGCTTAGCGATTTGAATCTTTTTTTGTTCGCTGCCAAAAACAAAGGCGTCTAGGGAACTCTATTGTTCCTGGCCAACACCACACCACACAACTGAAGTGTCAGCACGCTGGGCGATAATAAATCAGGCCCGGATAATGTCAACACCAACGAACCGCCGACGACCCCGAGTAAATATTCCTGCTGATGACTTTGTCGCCCTAAACAGTTTGATGCGTTTTTGATGCTACAAGGATTATCATTATTCCTCAGTCCTTCAAGGGATGGAGACCTTGAATTGAGTCTTTGACAAACGACAAACAGTTTTTGGCTTTTTGCTGGGCATCGATGACAAAGTGTTGACCCTGTCAAGCTGTTTGCTAATTAATTAGCAGCCTTTTGTGCGAGAAACATCGAAGCTGTGTAGCGTCAAAAATTTAATTAATGTTGGCCATGTGATTCGCCGGAATTCATTCTTCAAGTCTTCAAACTTCGCACTTCAAAACGAAAGGAGACGAAAGTTGGGAGACAATGGCAAACAATGCTGGAACATCAGGGGCATTGTGATGCCCGCGTAACAAGGAGCACTTGTTCTCCATTTAATACACAACTAAATTCCCCAGGCCCCACTTTATCCTGCCGGAATGACGACAATGACGTGGGGAGCCGGAGGCAGCCTGACAGCTATCCACACTTGGGATCTGAACGTTAGTGCCAAGTGAACCCAACCACGGAAATTTCGCTTCATTTCCAACTTTTTTCACCAGCCCACGCACTCTGAAAAACTGAGAAAAAAATGTTTTAATATGATTAAATTATACAAGGAAAAGATTGAAATTTCTCAAGAATATAAGGATAGGCATAAAATCATTAAAAACCTATGAAAAAAATAATAAATATTATATCAAATATTTTTATAGATAAAAAAAAAAAAAAATAGATTTAAAAAAGTTTAAAAATATGATTAAAGGATATAAAACTATTAAATCATTAAAAATTTTAAAATTAAAAACAGGGTTTAGAAAATTTAAGAATGATTTAAACTATTTATAAAACAATAAAATCATCATAGATCTAAAAAAATACATGTATGGTTTACAAATCTTATATATCCCATATTTTCATAGTGATTCTGTTCCCCCAAAAACACTCGTATAATTAGCTTTGAACGGCTCTCAATTACAGGGCAACGCAATCTCATCCCCTCACAGGATAGTTGACAATTGGATGGGCAGATGCCGCAAACAGAAAACAAACAGTGGCCCTGTAAACAAGGCCCAGCATTTTGAATTGACAATAAAACGGCAACGACGACAAAAGAAAACAATCGAATATAAATTACTAACTCAATAAAAGCGTATATGGTGATCTTCTCAATGCCCTTTAAAACACAAAAAAGATAATATGAATACTCAAATAAGTGCCACGCAGTTTTATTAAATACATCAATAAAATATTTCATGGACAATAAAAATTAAAATTTTATTACATGTAAAATATGGTAAAATTTGTGTACCAAGAATTTTGTAAAATATATATACGATATAAACATTGGAAATCTCTGTAAATTTACTAGTCGTCTTTCTTATTCGTTTCGTCGTCGGAAGTTATAATCAGTAGGCTATCCGAGGATTTATGGGCAACCGGCAAATCCATCTCGAAGTCCTTGGTTCCGGCCCCGGATATTCGGCACCCGCAATATGCCTGTTGGCCACCTCCGCAGGATATTATCGGAGGAGGTACATACGGTTCCCCAGTACAAATGGGACAGTTGCGGGCTCTAAAATATGAAATATTAAGGATGGTATCAGATTTTATGTTCTTTTCTTTGAAAAATAAATTTATAGAGCTTATTTGGATAGGTTGAATACAATTTTCCCAGTCAAAAGTCTAGGTAAAACCTTATAAAACTTACCCTGCAAAACCACCAATGGCCACTAAAGGAACTATCATTATTTTCGTATATAGACACATGAGAAAGTGGGCCAGGATAAGCACGGGTATCAGGAAAAAGGCACACAGCAGGATTCCCACCCAGTAACCGTTCTGCAAGGATATTCGATTAGATGTATGTAATTATCATAAAGCTCTTTTTATATTACTATTATCTTACGATTTTATATATAAAATATAAAATTAAAACTATTTAAAATGGTATATAAAAAAAATATATAAATACATAAATCATCGAGTAATTCTACAAATTATTATATAAATTTTAAAATATTAGTACAAATATAGCAGTTACCATAAATTTTTAAGAATTATTTAAAAATTGTTTTTTTTAATGTATTGTGTAAAGATTGCTAATTATTATATAATTATAATTATGTTAGGTTTATTATTATAACTTCATTATAACTTTATATAAGAACTTCAAATGATTTTTATATATTTTTAATGACCGAATTTTCTTATATCTTTAATATTTTTGTACTTAAGATTTTACAAGTACAGTAAGTACTCACTATAGGATCGACCAGTCTGCGGCACACCAGCTGGATGCTGCGGTCGTAGATGTAGCTGAGGGGTCGGCAGTGGCCCACGTTCTGGTTGCACTGGGCCATCAGATAGCCGATATACTCCTCGGCCTGCTCATCGACCACCAGGCTGAGATTCTGGCCCAGAGTGTTGATGAAGTGCACCCCTCGTTGCTGGATGAAATCCTCCGAATTGGCGACTGCCTGTAGCAATATATGGATACTCGTGGCAAAGTTGTAGTTTTCGTACAAGATCATCTTATCAATTCTGCTCAGCAGGCTGGTTATCTCCGCATAATTCGACTGCAGCTTGCTCTCAAAATGCTTAACGTAGGCTTTGATATGGAGACTCTGGATCTTAAAGTTGATGACCGCCTCCTTGAAACTGTTATACGATAGCGTTTCCGATAGATCGTCATATCTCTCCGCCAAAGTTCTCAAATTCTGCGGCGCAAACTGATTGCACAGGATTTTTGAGTAGAGGGTGCTGTGATAGTCGGCCAACTTTTCATTTCGCATATCATTCAGCAAGGCCTTCTCATCGGTTTCCAGCAACGTTACCGTTGAGAGATCGCCACGGAAAACTTGTTTATGCGCCGACACATCGTTGTTGATAATCTGCACTCGAATCAGATCGTCCACATCGTAGATTCCATTTACCCGCAAATAGTTGAAGATGGACTCATCCTCGCGGCAGGCTTGTATGGCCGTGGATACTTTGAGGGGAGGCGTTACCATTCCATCTCCGCGGGGCATTGCCTGCATGAGATCAACCGTGGGTTCCATGGTGCGGAATATCGTGTTGTTCGACATATCTCTTAGCGGAGCACAGGCTCCCTCGTAGATCACCACTCCGAGGAGGAAGTAGAACAGTCCCACGAGGAAGATGAACGATAGGATGCAGAACAACAGGATAATCGCACTGTGAAAGGTAAGGAAAATTATAAAGTTTGAAGAGTATATACTAATATTTAAATTAATAGAGTATCTAAAATGCTTTAAAAAAAACTTTCAGTGTTTTTTTTCAACCGCAAAAAAAATCTAAACTTATAAAAATTCTAAAATCTATTTATCTAAAATTCTAGCCTAAAACGGTTATTTCCCCGTGTAGAACAGAAAACGATCACATCCAACGAAGCTAAATATTTTTCCTTTTAATTTCCCATTTATTTTCCGAACATAAACTTTTAATTAACCCCATTTACTTTTAAGACATTACTGAAAATATTTCATTTCTTTTTTTTGCGTTAAATGTTAAAAATTTTTAAATTAATTAAACAAATAATTCTTTATTTATATATATTTAGTTATTTTTCCATTAATTGTTTCGACTTACATTAACAAACACCACGAGCCAGTTACTTTGCTACAAACACCATTGCCCATAGGACCTGTAGAAGTGGTGCCCAGACAGCCAAAAAGCAGAGCAAATATCAAAAGGACCAATACCTAAAAATGTATACAAATTAAAATATTTTAAGAAATATAAATAAAAATATTCCAGTAAATACTACCAAAACCCAACTCACAAATATAATCAGACTACAGACGACCAAATTGAGTGTGGAGCGACTTTCGTTGAACCTCTCGTAAACATCATCAAAAGATTTAGAGGAATTTAAGGTGGCCAAGTGAACCTGGCTGATGACGGCATCGATGGCATTGGCTATGAACCTGGCCTGCGCCCTGAACGTTTCCTTGGCCAAAGCGAGATCCCTGCTGATGGGCGGCGAAACGCGATCTAGTTCCGCCTTGATCTTGTCCTGAACTGCCCTCAAGCGAGCCAAACCCTTCTGGGGAATCTCTGCCAAATTGGCATCAACGATTTTCTCCAAGGCATCCACATAGACTTTGGTGTCGGGCAGCTGAAAGGTTGGAATATAGCCCAGAAAAATATTAACTTTATAGATGGATCTTAGTATCTGAGCTTACCCCCTCCATATTCAAACAAGTTGAGGTGTCTAGAAACTGTATATCGTTTCTGGTCATAAAACGTTCGCACACGTCCTGTCGACATTGAACGGCAACCGCAAAGTTTGTCTCACGTTTTACGCCTCGCAAACCTGATTTAAAGTTAATGGAATTATTTATTATATATTAATAAAATAGAATAAATTAAATGTATTATAATACCATCTCTCAATTGGGCAGTCAGGAAACGCATCTCTTTCTCCAGAGTATTAACCTTTTTCATTAGCATTAATGCTTTGGGAGTATTAGACATAATTCTTTCCAGTTCCTCCATGGAATTCGCCTCTGATGTATCACTCAAATCCATAAAAACATGTAGATGGGCCTCTGTTCAGGATTTAAGATAATATAAATGAAATTTGTCAAATGTAATAAAAAAATTGTATGACTTTTAGAAAATCAGAAAATATATTTAATATAAATGTAAATAATTATTTTATTTTAGTTATTTTAAGGACTTTTTAATAATTTAATATTAAAAGTTTAAAAAATAAGTTTAGTATTAATAAATTTAATTTAATTTAAACTTACTTCCTAGCAGATTAACCAGATGTCTTTCCATCTCCTCAAAGTTGTATACAAACAGGTGGTGGATGTGGTCAGAAACATCCCTCAGAAAGGAACAGGTGTCCTCGCTGCCCATCTTAATGGTCTTCGTGGTGTCCTCCAATCCCAAGTCCAGCGTTCGATTCGATAAAAAGGCAATGACGAGGCCCAGGCTGAAAAATAACCATTTGAAAAAGTTTCATAAGAACTTCTAGAGATATTTATAGTCTTACATAATTGGCAGGATGAGTAAAAACAGACAGGCTCCGCAAATCAGACGTCTTCGCGCATCTCGATCTTGTTCGCATGGTGGACATCCTTGTTTGCACCGTCGACAACAACAGAAACAGCAATAACAGATACTTAATAAAAAGGATAAAGATCGGTGGATAAAGAATTTTGGAGCAAAAGAACTTACCCCAAGCACGGTATAAGAATAATGATGAGCATGACGACAATAACCAAGAAAATAAACAACATATAGCTTCTCAACAAATCATCCCACTCTTCCTGCTCCACTTTTGGTCCCAAAACAAAGGTGTCATCGTTTCTCAATTTTACGTAACCTAAGTAAGATTATTTATAATGCTTAAAATCTAATAAAAAGGTTTAAAAATTGTTTTTAAAAAATGGAATAGCCTTGAATATTTTTAGAGATAATAATAAATTTTTTAGGATCCTTTAGAACTGCGAAATCTGTCAAATTAAGTATTTTATAAAATTAAATATTATTTTATTTAAGATTACATTTTTTTTATTTTTATTTTTTTAGGATCTCTCATTAAATGCAAACTTACCCGGTGGAATTGGTGGATCATCGGTGAAAATGCCATTCAAGATTTGTTCCCCGATTCTATAGGCGGGTTCCATGCCACCGGTTCGGACTTCCGGTGTCTCCGAGTAGTTCACCACTGACAAATACTGGGTGAACTCCGCCAGGGGCCAATGGACCATTCCCATCTGTTCATGGGTTGTGCCAAGTCCTGTGTAGCCAGTACGCCAAACCTCGGCGGAAATACATGGGAAAGTAATACCCAGAACCAGAAGAGGAACCAAAATCCTAAAGACTTCCATTTTGGAGCAGAGTTTCACTTAAATTTTGATTAAATATAAATTTTCTGCAGTCTTCGTTTTGTTTCTATTCAGTTCATTCAAAGCGTAGCCTTGAAGAACCTTCCCATTTCACGATCCAGCCAACTTGAGAAAATTATATTAAAATATTAAATCAAATTCGTTTTTTATCTTTAAACCACCCACCTTGTCTTAAAAACCACTTAAAACGGATTTAAAATGCACTTTAAATTTTCAGACGCCAAAAATGTTGTATTTTTTTTGTTGGTTAAAATAAGTAAAATTGAAATCTAAAATGACAAATAGGTCAGAAACTAATGTGTCATGAAAATTTTGTAAAAGTTGGGATCAGCTTAAAAATCTAATTTAGTTTCTAATGCAATCAAAAATCGCCTTTAAATTCCAGGAAATCCAATAGGAAAACACCATGGAAAATACAATGCCCACTCGACATGACTCGCACATTATTTTCCCATTGACTCACAAAGAACAGCTGAAAACACACAAATAGGCGAATATAAATAGACAATATTTACAAATTGTGACATTCAATAACTTGGAAACATGCTGAACTGACACCTATCGCGACCCCGCAGAAAGGACCAAGGAAAAAAGAAAAAGGACAACAGATTGCAAAAACACACTTGGCGACGCCGCTAAGTATGCCACACGTTTTGTGGGCCATATATTTTATATGCGGCTCCAGAAAATGTCTGGCGGCGAAAAGCGTTTTAAACACACCCAGAGGCGTGTCCATGGCAGCCATTTCGACTGGCAGTTGACAGAAGGTGCACAGAAAAAATTAAAACAATATCTAAATATTTTAATATATCTTAAAAATTTTATTTTTTAAATGTGTCAAGAAAATATAAATATATATAAAATTTAGGTAATACTCTAGATTAGCAAACTCAACCACGAAATTCGCGAAAAAATTATCCTCGACGGAGCGCGATTTCTGAAGAACTTACGTGCAAAAAGAACTTGGCCATGGTTCTCTGGAAATTGAATTTCAAAGTTCCCGGTTTTGCTACAAAAACAAGTATGCTTTTTAGTACTTTTTGTAGGTTAAGGTCTCAAAATAATGCAATTTGTAATAAATATTGAATTTATTGTGAATAATAAAAACATAAATTTTAAAAAGAAACTTAAGATAACGATTTTTTACAATGGAAATATTATAATTTAATGATACAAATTTGATTTACATTTTTTTTTTTTGTTAAATATTTCTTTCACTTTTTCACAGTGCAGTTACTGAAAAGAAGAGATTCCGGGTGATGAGGAGCAGCATCCCAGACGGCATCGGCATCTGTCGGTCACGCTCGACGACGACGATGTCGATGAAGTGACGAACACACCGTGGATATTTTCCGTTTTTCTGTTGTGGTTGCTGCTTTTGTTGTTACTGTTGTTGGGACTGCAAGTTTTCGACTTTTGACAAGGGACCAGCGACAACCCGACAAAAGGAAAGGAAAGGATGGGCCCCGAGATTTGTGGGTGACATTGAAGGCAGGCTGTGGGCCTTTTGTGGTATTGATTTTATGCAGAAATCGTTGGGCAATGATAATTTACAATTTGTATGCGGTCTAGCAGAGGAACTCCAGCAAGTGGCCAAAGCTGGGAAGGTAGGTGTCCGGAATGAGGACTTTCTTCTTTGGATCGCCCTCCTCGATGATCTTGTGCACCTCCTTCAGGGTGTTGACACCACTGCCGACCATCAGGGACTGGAAGCCACAGTTCGCAGAGAAGTGGATATCCGTATCCAGTCTAATCAATAATATATTAGGAATAAAAATAGTTGGATTATAAAAATTATGGGTTTCATAAATTTACAAAGAGAGCAAATCGAAGAAATATAATTTTTTAACAAAAAACTTTTATTATTTAATGGTAAAATTAATATGTAATAAATTTACCATTGTAATTTCAAATTTTACTATAAATTTTATTTTCTTCCTCGAACAGATATTGTCAGAAAACAACTACTGATGACAAGATTTGATAGCAATTTGATAGGGAAGGTAATGGTGATGTCCTCTTCTTTAGGATTTCTTCCCTTTACCAATAATTTTTATAATAACTTACGTGTCGCCCACCATCAAGGTGCTTTCCGGTTTGATAAGACCGGCTTGCAGGAGTGGAGCCGCCATCCAGGGATTGGGTTTTCCCGTGACCAGTGGCTTTCGTCCAGTAAGGACCTTCATGGCCGCCAAGGTGGCACCGGCGCCAATCATCACTCGATTATTGCCAATCGGATAGGCGGCATCCAGGCAAGTGCCCAGAAATATTATCTCGTGATTCAGCAAATAGGTGCCAGCCCGCACCAACTTGGCCATGTTGAAGCCCTCATCGCGACCCACAACCACTGCCCCAACATCGGGATCCTGTTTTAATTCAGCCACGAACTCATGAATCGGTTTCTGCAGCGTCTCTGATACCTTCATCGAACATATGCCACACTCCTCCAACTCGTGATGGATTCCCCTTTCGCCCATGACGAACGCCTTCTTCTGGAACTTCTTGGTGGCCAGGAAATTGGCGACCGAATAGGCCGAAGTCAGGATATTTTCTTTCTCGATACCATAGCCAAAATCCTTTGCCTTCTTGGCCATTTCCATTCGCGAAAGCTCCGAGTTGTTCGAAATAATAAAGGTCTTTCGGCCGGAGCTGTTCAACTGGTTGAAGGTATCAATTGCCCCATCGAGAGACTTGGAAAAGTGCCAAAGCACTCCGTCCGCATCGCAGATCACCGATTCGATGGAGGACAGCCATTGGCGAACCCGTTGCTTCGGCAGCTTGGTCAGGTCGGTGCAGGTTTGCTTGAACATAGCTCACCAAAGGGATCTTGTGTATTGTTTCCAAATCTGAATGTTGAGTAAAAGCTAGAAGAAGCTTTGATCAAGTCAAAGTACTTACTACAACAACATTTAAAAATATGAAAACAATGAGAAACCCTTTAAAAAGATTAACACATTTCTTTTTTGGCGGTTTAATATACCCTTAGTTTACTTAACATGCAATAAATTACAACTTATCTATTTCGAGATGATAGAAAGGGTAAAAGGTTGGAAAGTTTCGGCACAAATAGATCGGGAACTTGCTGATAAAGTGAGGGAACCTTGGATGCCTGCGCCTCGATGGCATCCTGATAGCTATTGACCCCACTGCCCACCAACAGAGTTTGAAAGCCGCAATTGTAGCCAAAGAGAATATCTGTCTGCATGCTGTTCAAAATAGATAGAAAATAAAATGTAAAAATTTAATTTCTAACTTAACTTATAAGCTTTAAGAGACTTTTAAACTAAAAAGTCTAATAATAATACAATTGTAAAATAAAAAAACTTATAATAATTAAAATATAAATTATATCCGTAAAGTAAAAAATTAATAAATATTCGTCGATTAAATCACTAATAGATACTTTAAACTATATTTCATATACAGACTTTAATTAAATGTTATATGAATTGTTGCTTAAATTATTATGCTTATATACATATATATAAAATATATATTTACAAGATATAAAACTCACGTATCTCCCACAATTAAAGTCCTCTCCGGCTGAATTAGTCCCTGTCGCATCAGATCGATGCACATATAGGGATTGGGTTTGCCACAGGTGAAGGGCATCCGTTGAGTGGCTGCCTGAATGGCGGCCACCATGACTCCGGATCGGGGAACCATTCGTCCAGGAGCCGCCGGAAAGGACATATCACGGCTGGTGGCCACAAACATGACCTCGGGATCCTTAAGATAGCAACTGGCTTTTGTCAATTTGATGGCATTGAAGTCATCATCACTTCCCACCACCACGGCACCCACTTCGGGATCCAAAAAGAAATTGAGGATGTCTTCTGGCATCGAGATATTCTGCAAAGAGGATTCTTCTAACGGCAGCGATTCGATGCCCACCAACTTGAGTTCATCGACGATTCCCTGACCACCCACCACAAAAGCTTTCTTTTTGAATCGCTTTTCCTTCATAAATCTGGCTAAAGTCTGGGCTGAGGATAAGATCTCATTCTGGGCCACCAGAAAACCCATTTCCTGTGCCTTCCTGAAGATTCCCGCCACCGAACTCACCGAGTTATTAGTGCAAATAAAGGCTTCTTTTCCCATCGCACGAAGAGCGTTGAAGGTTTCTGGCGCCTTTTCAAGGACTTTATCGTGGTTCCACAGGACACCATCTCCATCGTAAATGATCGTATCGATAGTCTTCAGCCACTGTTGTATACTGTACTTGTTAAGGCCCAGAACTTGACAACCGCCCTTTTGGACACTCTTATTTAAAGCGAAATTCATGATTGATTTTAAAGGAGAGAACGTCTCTGTGTGAAAAAATATTTAGTAAACAATTCAAGGCATTCTAAGATTAAAAAAAAAGACTGTTGAATATCAAAAAATACGAATACTCTATATTAATTCTTTTCTAAGTCTTAAGAATTAATTATTTGGTCGATTAATAAATGTTAACTAATTTGCAGTACCCTTGTTTCTCATTTATGGGAATTATTTAAAATTGTGTAAGTAAATTTAAAGAGTGTGCAGGGATTTGACGATGCATTTTTGTTTTGTTTGATAAAGTTAATTTAAATTTTTTTATAAATAAATGATGGTGCCCACAGGAAGTCGCTGATTGGAGAACATAAGTTTGTACAATAAATCTCTGGGATTTTTTATCGAGCTATGTTAGTTAAATAATCTTAGGACTAAGAACACTTTATAACGATTTATCCTTTTCAGTCACCACTCTGTCTTTCTTCATGTTCTCGTACTTTATCTGGATCTCTGTGATCAGCTATCACTTGTGGCAAGTCTTCAAACCGCTCAAGAGCGATGAACATCGCAATCAATTTCTAGCCTACAGTGCTATTGTGTGGTTCACGGCTGCTAGCGCCATTAAATTGTTAGCTTTTTTGGATGGTCAGCGTGTGTGGGGGACGACGTGTAAGTTTACAAAATGAAGAAGATACAAAATAATCATTAATTATGATTGTTTCAAACACTGTGCCAGTACTGTTCTATCTTTTTGGTTGGCTGATCCTGAGCATCTTCAATTTTATAATGTTTATACTGACTGCCACTAACATTTCCAAAGTAAAGAAAGAAATTAAAAGGTTTAAGCAAAGGAGAGAAACCACAACGTCCTGCATTAATTTTGACACTGAAGCTTAAGTACAGTTTTTTTTTATTCGATAGCTAAGAATGAACCATGACTCGTTTTCTACACATAGCTATATAATCTTTCTGCGATACTTGGATACTTTGTGCAATTATTGTGGCTATTGATATTTTAACAAGCAAATACCGCGAGAAATTGTTTGTTGTCTTGCTAAATGGCCATCTCTGTTTTGGTATTTTAATTTTTATTCTTGTCATCTGTAAGCGGAGCACCATAAAACTGCTTAAGGAAAGGTAAGTTCTATATGATTGAAACCAACATTATGGGAATCTTATAACTGTTTTTCCAGCATTCGGGAAAGACACTTAAGAAACCCAGCCTAATTATACAAATGTTGTATCAAAAGCTAAAATTATTTTTAAAAAGGTAAAATATTAATATTTGAACATTGCTATACATTTTATATTTAAATATTTAATATTGTTTTAATATTTCAAGAAACTAAATATTTGGATTTTTTAAAATATTTTTGTTAAATGCCTATAATTTTTTTATTGCACTCATTTCTGAAAATTCAAATATACATAAGTTTCAATTAACAATCAGATTTTAGATTTGGTTGACATTTAACCTAAATGTTGAATGTTGTTGAATATGTTTAATTTTGTACTCCCTTGTGCTTTATTTATGACTATTATGAGTTATTCAAAATTTTTTAAGAAATTTTAATGGGTGCACAGGGATTTGGAGCTGATTATACCCGTTACTCGTAGAGTAAAAGAGTATATTGTATTGTGCAAAAGTATGTAACAGCTAGAAGGAAGCGTTTCCGACGCCATAAAGTATATATATTCTTGATCAGGGTCACTAGCCGAGTCGATCTAGCTATGTCCGTGTGTCTGTCTGTATGAACGCTGAGATCTCGGAAACTACAAAAGCTGGAAGGTTGGGATTTTCCACACATATTCTTGGGCCTCCTACGCAGCGCAAGTTTATTTCAGCCGAGCGCCACGCCCCCTCTAACGCCCACAATCGCCCAATAACGATTTTAAAATGTGTCCTGCGCCCACATCTTTAAAGATTTCCGAGAAGTATAAATGCAATTTTGTTGTGTACATTTATACCTATCGAAATGTAGAAGATATTTTTCAAATCGGACCATTCATTAAAAAGTTATACGCAATCAAAATATCTACATATATCTATCTCCCTCGCACTCCCTTTAGCTGAGCTACGATTATAGTCGGGACACGAGCCCGAGTACAGCGTTCGCACTCCCTTTAGCTGAGTGACGGGAATTAAATAGTCGGGACACCTTCTAACCTTCTTCATTCTCTCTTGTTTTTTTGTGATTTCATGTGGGTATTTAAAGTTTTATAGAGTAAAACGGTATATTGTACTTGGAAAAAATTATGTAAGAGGTAGAAGGACGCGTTTCCGACCCTATAAAGCATTCACCATAAACTGCCACGAAAACTAAAATTTTAACTGAAATATATTTGTTTCGTCAATACCCATCTGTTGCCTTAAAAAAAGTTTGCCACGCCCACTCTAACGCCCACAAACGCCCTTCACGCTACAATTTCTGCCTTGCGTGGTCAGCGGTTCCGATGCCTTCCGCTAGATGGCAGGTGGAACCAATGACTCCCGTTTTAATGTTGGTTAGCTCAGAAACGGGTATCTAATAGTCGAGGCACTCGATATAATAACAATAAATCTCCAACAACGATTAAGTTGTGTTATTTGGGAATACTGTTATCGGTTCAGTTCTTTACTGTTGCTTCAAAATGTTGATCCTCAGAATTTATTGAACGAAAAACCCAATTCAAGGTTCATTCGGCTCTTAGCTCTCAGATAAAGTACATAGCTCTGCAATGCACGCTCCAGCTGCAATTATCGGTACTGTGATTATTCAAAATCAAGGAATAAAATATCCTGATATATTGTGGATTCATACATAAAGATGTCATGTGGTATTTCGGGAGAAAACTTCCCCGTTTTCACTTTTTTTCTGTTTTTTAGTTCTGTTCCGGGTTATATCGCTGGTTTGCCATATTCTTACTATCGCGGTCTATTTAAAAGTAAAGAAGCTCAAGAATACGCTTGGCAAGTGCATTATCAGCAGCCTATTTAGCATGGTCATTGACGACATTATTGGTATTAAAATATTCTTCAATTTCCCAATGCCTTTATTGGGAACTTTGATAATATGTTAGTTAATTTCCCTTGAGATGAGTTTCGTCTTATAACATTATTATCATTTGCAGTACGCTGTTGTACGTTCTTCAAAATCGCTTACATTGTCTGGCTCTCTGTGATCAGCCATCACTTGTGGCGAGTCTTCAAACCGATCAAGGGAGAAGAACATCGCTATCAATTTCTAATCTACAGTGCTATCGTCTGGTTCACGGCTGCTGGAAGTACAGTATTTGAAATTTTAATGGATGACCTAAGTTTTCTAATAACTACAGGTAATTTTAAAAATGTTTCGAAACACTAAAAAGATGCTTTTGTTTTGAAATTATTAATTATTAATTAAATTAATTAAAATTATTAATTAATAACAGGTCACAGTCCCCAAAGTGTAGTGGTTTTTTGGTTTTTATGGTGGGTGATCCCGAGTATCTTCAACTTTATCCTGCTTATCCTGACTGTCATTAACATTTGGAAAATGAAGAGAGAACTGACGAAGTTTGAGCAACAGACCAGCCCCAATTTCGACACTCAAAAGTAAGACCAATTTTTTTTATCGATAACCAAGAAAAAACGTTAACTCGATTTCCAAATACAGTTATAAAATCTTTCTGCGAATGTCCTTCATGATAGACGTAACTTGGATGGTTTTTACCGTTATTTTGGCAATTGACACTTATAGAGGAAGAATACGAGGGGATTGGTTTGAATTTCTCAAGGAAGTCTATGGCTCTTGTCATGGTATTTTCGTGTTTATTCTGCTTATTTGTAACCGTATCACTATAAAACTGCTCATGGATAGGTAGGTTATATTTGATTAAAACAAACGTTTAAACGACCTGACAACTGTCTTTCCCCTCCAGCATTTACTTAAAAAAACAAAAAAACCGTGGCGGAACCAGAAAAACAGGTGATTTTATTAAAAAAAACAACTTTGCTTCCTTTTTCAGCTTAAATTTTGTAAAACATTCTCATTAATTCACTTGCTTTACATCATTGATCTCCACAGGTCTAAGCCGGGCTACAGAATTAAAGAAGACCCGACAAGAACAAACTAGGTTGTAGTGTCTTAAACAGTCGGTTGAATCGTATCGATGGTCTTGAGCCACTGCTTAAAAGTGTACTTGCTGAGGCTCAGAACTTGACAACCGCCCATCTGGAAATCAATTTCATAATTGATTCTGAAGAGAATAACCAACTTCATAGCTTAATCAAGGCAAAAAAAAACAAAAATCCAAATATAAAAAATCCTTATTCGCAATTTAAATTAACTTTCTTAAAATTTGAAATTGGTTTAAATTAACAATCAAATAGAGTATTTGTATTCTCGATTACAGGATGAACTGATTTTAAATATAAGTTTGAGTATATTGATTAAAAATGGAATGAGAAAATTGGGTACCCGATTTAAAAAAATTCTTTCTTCTCATAGTACAAAAGTACTCAAGTTAAGTAAAAATGACTTAAATAATTCTCTCTGTGTTGTATTAAAAAAAAGCCCACAGGAAATAGGTCCCTAAAGAACGTTATTTTGGCTAATTTTTGTACAAACAACGATTAAATTATGTTATTTGGGAATACTGTTAACGGTTCAGTTCTCTCCTGTGGTTTTAAAACAGCGGTCGGCACACTCATACAATTACATTTTGTTTTATATTTGTGTGAGTAAATTGTACGGGGCGGCTTAACAGTGTGTGTGCGCAGACCGCTGTTCTACAGTATACGTGGAGGCAGCGCTCGAGCAGAACAATTTCCTATGCTCACTAAATAGGACGCTGCCGACCGCTGTTTTAAAATGTCTGACCTCGAAGCAATGGCATTTATTCTTCAAAATTACCAATTCGAGGATCATTCGGCTCTGAGCTCTCAGTTATGGCAGAAGTACAAAACTCGGTTTCGGAGTATGAATTAGCAAGTATCGGTATAATAATTATTATAATAAATTTAAAAAAAAAATTTTGCGAGAGGAAAACTTTCCCGTACTAATTTTTTTTTTCTGTTTC